TCATCTTTGACCAGAAGCACTTGAATATAAGCGCCTGATAAGGGGAGGCCTCCGAACATTTCTCAAGACAAGGAAACCGGACCCGCGCCAACAAAACGTATTGGCCGCCTAACTGCGCCTTCGACATTGTGGGCAAAAATAGAAAGCCGAATTCCGATCTCAACAGTGTCTTGCCAGAGTCATTGTATCGATGGCGTTGATTTGGCAGCCGCGGGTGAGTTCCATCAATCCGGACGGTTTAGTCATTAGCCGACCATCGTGGTTCGCAATATAGCTGTAGTAGCCGCAAGCAAGCGGACGGCTAGGAACACGATGCGCCACGTCAACCAAAAACAAACTTTTCTTTGTGCCAGCGCCTTTCTTCAAGTAGCTTGTCGCAACAAGCCACGCCTGTTTTGAGCGCGCAGCGTTTCTGAAAACCTATCAGACCTATCAGCAGGAGATCCTCAGAATGTCCACGTCAGGCCTTCAAGCGGTTCAGCTCATAGCGTGCGGCAGCGTGTGGGCCACCATGAGGGCTAGCTTGGGGCCATCCAGAACACAACCAAGCCCTCCTACGTATCCAACTTTCTGTAAAATCATGATTTTCTTTGTAAAATAGAAACTGCAACCTCGCCACGATAATCTTATCCACGCGCGTATTCAATGGCAAAGCCGCGTGCCATATAACACATCAAAGATATGTAGACGCTTGGCCTTAGCCTTGCAACCAACTCCCCTGCAGCGCCTCAATAGATTGTTTTTGCTTGATCTTCAGCTGTCGGAACGGCTGTCGGCAGCTGACCAAATTCCGCCTACGGCGCGCGGCCGACTTCCAAGAAAATCGCGCAAAAAACACGACCGCTTCCATTGCCATGGTGCACCACGTTTTTTTTTGACAAGCCTTTGAGGACAACCATTGCGAGTGATGAGGCCTGTCGAACTTTGAGCTGGCAAGGTGTTGCGCCTAACCGAAAAGATTTCGCCCTTGCCTACAGCTGCGGTCGGTAGCAAAACAAAGCAGTCTTCGCCAGAGAAGACGCCTGCACCACTGCCCGCCTCACGAACGCAGAGCACGCTATGCATATGTCAACCAAAAGCTACCCGATCCTTGCCTTCGGCGGTTCTTCACCACTTTCTTCAGGACTCGAACTAAGTCCTGTCGCTCTTGCTCGCCTGCGTATGAAAAATGATCGGTCTAGATTCTTAATTAATCAACACTTGACAACAAGTATTTTTGCTTAAAGAACTTGCGCTCGCCGCTCACCCGCCTTGGATTTGTTGCAGCCGCCGCTTCACGTTGGTAGCCTTGAAGATGTGCCGGAGAAAGCCAGCCAACTCCTCTCAATAGAAAACAAAAAACACAAGAAGGCATTTCCTTAAACAAGAACCCCTTACAAGCAGGACAACAAACAATTGAGCGAGAAGCCAACCAACACACAGCCATCGAAGAAAAGTTCCTCCAAGGATCGGCGCTCGGCGACTGCGGCAAACGCGCTGCTCGTGGCTTCGCGCTGGAGCATAAGCCTGCGGAGCTGAATCAATCTTGTTCCTGCCAAAATTAGACTCCTGTTGGAATCCCTGTTTGGTTTGCATTGCGTTGAGGCAACTACAAAGCGCCTATGGGCAAACGATCGTGTCTTCCGCCCTTGTCCCGAAACGGCCGTCGGAAGCCTTTATCACCGCAAGACTGGCCAGGACATCGAACATCGAACAAGGAAGGCAATCAAGTCTGGTTTTATTGTCTGTTTGTTGACCACGTCTTTAGCTTGCCTAAGGCATCAAATTCCTCGGCTTCTCCAAATTCATGCCATTCAGGCTCGAAATAGATCATCATTAAGCTGTAGAATCAACAGGGTTGATGGAGCAGACGGAAAATGATGGAGGGGGAAGGCAAGAGCACCTAGCGGACCTAGCGCAACACCTTGGAAAATCAAAGCCCCTTGAACTGTTTAGGTTTTTACTTTGCGCCCTCTACAGCGGCTCGCCTTCGGAGGACTCGCGCTGCTTGGGCTCCAAGGCACAGCCGGTCCGCCGTCAGCCACACGCTGCCGTTGGCACCGCCAAGCGGAAGTTTGTCGAAGGGCTTCTGGACACGGACACCGCCCCACAGAAGCAGCTTCCTTGTCGCGGCGCGGCGGCATGACCCATACACTGCTTGCAAAATGGGCACAACACGTTCCCTAGCTTCTGGACTGAATGACTATTGCTTGCAGAGCTGTTGGTGAAGAATAGAATGACCTCGCCGAAATCGTGCCCTGGTTTACGCGGGTTTACGCGGGTTTACGCAGGTTTACGGGTTTACGCGGGTTTACGCGGGTTTACAGGTTTGCTGGGTTTAGAGATGTTTTCGATTTGCAGTGTGTAGTCGTTCTATCATTCTTCAAAAGGCACCAATCACCGACTGGATTTACATGCAGACATGTGCGCAGCAAACAGGTTGGTGGCTTGCACTGAGCGCCACTTGGTTTGGCACCATGGGATTGTATATATATATATAATGACATAGGCGAGGGCATGTGGAGATGCGATGGGTCACCTCAAAAAGAACCTGTGATGGCAGAAGTCGAGGCCAGCGGACCAGGAAAAGGACCAAGGACCAAGGACTAGGGGGCCAAAGGGCCAGGGGACCAGAGGTCCCCTGATTCTACTCACTCAGGATTGTTCACTTTTTTAAGGATCCTATCTTATTTGTGGATCCTCTTCTTGTATCTGTTGATCTAGATGCCTTCTGCGGCCTTCAACCAACTCCACATCACGTCCCATCCGTCCCTGTCCTACTACTGATTGATATTCATCTCCTCCAGGCACCGGCCCGGGCAGCCGTCCTCGGTGTCGTGAAGGAAGAAGTTGGCCGTTTTGCAGTCTCCGTGGAGCCTTGGAGAAGGACGTGAAGTCTGTTTCTTTCCCGATGGAGTCGGTGGAGTTCTCATAAGGTGCGGTTTTGTTCCAAACATTGTCCATCTCCAAACCGAAGTGCTACCCAGGCGCTCCAAACAGCCTAGTTTTTCACCACCTGGGCCTTAGTGTGTGAGTAGGTCCTGGTGGCCAGGACAACTCCAACCTAGGTTTCTTGCAGCAGGTCCTGGTGGCCAGGACCCACCAAACACCTCCTTGACAGGCAAGCGCATGAGTGAACATGAAAACCACAACATTTTTACAATAGAAGAAGCATTTACATAAGTAGGGTCTGCAGCCTTTATTTACAAGTTGGATACCAAGACTGCAATGTACAAATAGCATAGATTTGAGAAACTGATGATGAAAGGCCACTTCTTTACTGCTCAAACGTTGAGAAGCAAACTGTTGGCTTTAAGGTTGATGCTGATCTGATGTCCTTGCTCTGCTGGCCCTGACGGTTCACGGTTAGAAGTGATTCACATGGTTCACATGATATGTCTGGTTAAACTGGTTACTTCCAAGTGGTTCATAATGTTGCTGAGTTCAGGCCTTAGAGATTTCCAAGACGGATGACCTAAGTGGTGCATACGTTTGTGGCCTCAGTTCTGGATTTGAACTATGAGGGGGGTGACCACCAACCAAACACCTACCTTACAGGCCACAGCACATAAGCTGCTGCCACTAGAAAAAATACATTGCTTTATGCAGTGCAGATTCTAGAAGCACAAGTTGCTGCAACTGTTGATAGTAGTTAGTAAGTGAGTGTTTGCTTTAAGGCTTGTGCTAATGCGAAGTCCTTGCACTGCTCTGGCCCTGACATTGAGCTTCTATGTTTCAAGTCTTTCTGGAAAACATGCTTCACATGATGCTGTTGAGTTTGGGATCACAGGCTTTTGCGGTTGATGCAACAAATCTTAGTTAAAAAATGTTTTGGACCTCAGTGCTGCCTGTTAATTCTGGGGGTCCTGGTGGCCAGGACCCACCAAACACCTACCTGACAGGAAGAAAGAATCATCAATTTGCAAAGATCAATCCCAAAAAATGCTATTTCTATTTTCTATTTTACAACTATGTTATAACAATTCTTGATGAGAAAAGTGTAGTGTCTTGAGTTTCTGGCCCAAAGTTCTGCTGACTCCTGGAAAAGCACTCACAGCAAACAACAAAACATCAAAAACTGCAAACAATCACACGCGCTGACTCTCACACAGCAGTCCTTTGCACCTTAGTATGTGGGCCCCGGTCTCCAGGGCCCACCCAAGTTGGAGACCTTGATAAGACAGTGTTTATCCAACACATCCCACAGTAGTTACTCCATGAACATAAAACGATGGTACATGTTGAACTAAAGTTGATGCAGCACATCCCACTTATTCAGCGGGTGTCTTATTTACTCCATGAACAAATGAACAAATAAAAGGACCCTCCCCCCCAAAAAAAAATCCAAAGAACATCAAAACACCAACAACATATGAAAACACCATGTTCCATGACAGTGGCTTCTTTACTTAAATAAAAACGGTGACCATGCGAACGAAGTCGAAAAAAAGACCCGCTCGCTTCAGAGGAAACCTGAAGAGTCTGGACGAAGGCGACGCCCTTTCAGAGTCTGGGTGATGGGTGTAGCTGGATCGGAAGAATCTGATACGATTCAATCCAACATGGATCCTTTTGCACCGTCCAAACTCCACATGGAGAACTCAGCCTAGTGGGAGTTTGCACCAAAATATGAAAGACCAAACTCCTGAACTATGCAGTGGGCGGTTGAAAAAAGAATCAATCGGGGACCCCCATGCAAAAGCTTCCCCCTAACGTGGCATTCAGTGCAGACTACATATTCTACCCGACGTGGCAATCACCTGATAAAAGTATAATATATATATATATTGTTGCCTTGTTAAGACTTCAGAGAGCAACCATCTACTAGGAACAAGGGCATCGCTACTGGTAACAAGGGCATAACTTACTACTTGTGGTAGCAAATATAGCCTAGCTAGAAGCTAACTAGTAAGTTATGCCCTTGTTCCTAGTAGCAAATAGCCCTTGTTCCGAGTAGCATCCATCGCCCTTGTTTCATCCATGTCCATCCTCCACTTCGGGTCGCCCTGCACGGCTCGCACCTTCAGGGCTCGGGCTTCTCCTGGCGATCCCAAAGCGCCGCACATCCAACGGAACCGCGCGGGCGGCTTCTGCGGCACCGGCGGTGCCAAGTGATGCGTGGGTTTCATGGGTTTTTGGGGGTCTAAGCAGATGCGATGCCTCAAAAAAACGGTATCCCTTTTCATCAGACATCTTTACGATCTTGGGAACCAGGGTTGGCTTTACGATCTTTGTCCTTGAAAGCACTGAGAACAATTTTGAGCTCCGCGATCCACCAGAGACATCTGAAGGCTTCAGTGTACTTCAGGTTGAGGAGGTGCGTGCGCATGTCTTATTCTTCCCAAGTTCTTTCTAAAACCCACTCGGTCTCCCTTTCAGCAAAAAACTAAACAGTAAAAAACACACACCAGGGTCTCCACCCAGCCCCCGATCTCGGCTTGGTGGCCTCCGAAAGATCGAGGCCAAGGAGGGGCGGACATTGTAGCCGGAGGTCTGGCAGCGCTGAACACCCCCCGCTACTGCACTGCTGCGCTGCTTTTGCCGGTCTCGCGTGTGGCCGGCATGGGCCACGTACGTCTGGCTGGGTGTCCGGTGCCGATGTCAGGTCATTCGCATGCGAGCTCACCCAAGCGTGAAAATATAAGGCTGACTAGTTGGCACACTAGTGGTTGAAGGCCCTCGTTAGTAGGTTGGAGGCCATCGCTACTAGGGTGAAGGCTATCGCTCCGCTAGTAGGTTGAAGGCCATTGCTATTTGGGTTGGAGGCCACCGCTACTAGTTGATACTAGTTGGTCGTGCTTGGAGGCCATCAGCTGGGTGTCGCGGTGATCCAGGTGAGTAGGTCAACGATCCAAGGTCTCTCATGGGAAGGTCAGCCAAAGCGGATACCAGTCTAGTTCGGCCCCGGCCCGTGTTCGGCCCGGCCCAGCATCTGCCAGGTCTGGATGAGTGTTGAAAGACTTGGCTGTAAAAGAATGCTGGATGATGCTGGCGTCGGTCAGTCGAGGGCAACAAATCAGGATGATTCAGGATGGTCTCCTGGAAAGGGCGGTTGAATCTTGGGGGGACTCGTGGCCTCGTACCCTGATAGACCCCTCGGCTGCGCCTGGGGCGATGCAGCTCGCTCAGAGCCTGAAATTCCATCGGCGGTCCACATCCCAGTGAGAGAGAGAGAGACATACAATTTCAGACCAACCCTGCGACCAAATAGTTAGACACGAATGGGGCACGACTAGTCGTGCTCACCAAAACGAATGAGGCACACGAGTCGTGTTTTCTTTGCATGTCCAGTGATTACAGGTCCACAACTTGCCGCTCTTGAGATGTCGCTGAAAGCCGGTTTCAAGCCCCACACTCACTCAGAAATGAGGAATCAACAGAAACCGACCAACCCTATCTGCGCAAGAGCTTCTGCATCTTGCCAAGATTGATCCCCTTGCTGCCAGTTACTCTGATCATTTCGATGGGATGTTGGTCACTGCGCAGTTCTAACGTGTTTGAAACCCCAAAGTAATAGGTCTGCATCCAGAATCTGAAGGCACCCAGCATTGCTCCAAATAGAAGGGCAGATCAGCCAAATCGAGAAAAGATGAGAAAAGCATGGCAGCATGATAGAACACGAAAAAGAAATCATGAGTGTTTGCTGTGTGTTTTGGGCGCGTGATTCAAAATCCAGTGTGTGCTCGTCCGGACTCAACTCGTCCTTTTTGGGACTCCACACCACCAGTGCCGCCTGCCGAGCCGGCAACCTTTGGCCTCGCTTTCTTGGACGTCTGGAGAAATGGTGAGAGGTGTGTGGGATCGTCTGGGAAATTATATGGTCTGGTCTGGTCCTCACATTAATATATTACTTATAGCGTCGAAACATATACTGCAGAACTGTCAGAACTGTAGAATACTGTAGAATAGTATCAGTATATGCCTCTGGATTCACTCTTCCATCCAAAAGCTTGGGTAGAAAAGGAACAACGTGGAAGCAGGTTCTCCCTGACCAGCCACCTACTGACCTGCTTGCTACCCTCACAAGCTCACCCTGGTCTGACCAGAAGACCGAATCTGTGGTTACAGCAACTGGAGATGACCAAATGATACTAAATGAAGCGCTAGGCCGCTTGGCTCGACCTTAAAGGCTGGGCCAAACGACCAAACGATGTGCAGCCGCAAGTGGTGAGGTGTGGGTCGTTCAACCGGGAGACGAAGGTCGTTGAGAACCCCGACGTGGACTACGCCCCACAGCCCTTCACCCTGAAGGCTGGGGAGTAGGGGAGTAGGGGTATGTATGACACCAAGCATTGCAAAGCCCTGTACAACTGTCGAAGACCAGTTCTACGTGAAACCGAAGGTCCGCGCAGCACGACGTGGAAGCATAGAGTCACGGAATGGCCCTAGTTGACTGACCTGGCGTCGGTCGTTTGCTACATGGTGAACTGGTCGGGCTCCAGGTGTTGATCCATCCCTATACCATCCCATATTTGAGAAAAAAAGTTGCACTGTCATTCTGTCACCAAAATGTCTTAACCTCCAAAAACCCGCCCGGTACGTTCTCCGCAGCTTCCGCCCTTCGAGTTCTTCGGCTGCCGAGCCGGCTGGGTCCCTGCTTTGGGGACAAGCGCTTTGGGCTGGCAGGTGGGCTCACCTGAAGCAACCGATTGATGAGCCATCCGATGGATGGGATGAGCGGAACATAAAAGCAGTGGGAGGAGCGATCCGCCCCCAATATGTTTCCCCCAGATTGTAGATCACTGAAAAGATAAACGCCAAATGAGCTGTTCCAAAACCTAAAGCAAAGACACACAAAAAGAAATATCTGGCTCCGGTTCGCTGTGAGCTCCTTCCAGCTTTTGGGACAGCAAATGTGACAGGATGTTCTGAAAAGTGCTGGGAAGGTTTAAATAGTGCTAGTACCTGGACCCCAAGGGGTGGTTAATGGACACCCCTTGACCTCTAAGGGCCTATTAATGGACACCCTTTCCGTGGTGCTGGTAATTACAGTATAGGTTTGTGAGTCCTGGGAATTTGGATATATAATGAGAGAAATGCGTACTTAGTTCGTTCCCTGCCTGAAGACGTCGCGGCTAAGATGTATCGAGTTCCCCCACCGGGCGTGCCACGCGTGCAACAGGCAGCTTGGACCTGGTCAAGCTCGGGTCTCTGACTGACTGACTGTCTTTTGTGTCTGTGACTGGATTCTGTTCCACCTTACGTTTGAGTTCTCCAATCAAAGCAGTCCGCGGACATCTGTGCAAAGTCTTTACAGTTTACACGGTTTTGACATCCAATTGAAATCAATTGACACTTGTTATCCACTGAATTTTTGCATTCATGTGACGCAGACTCCGCCCTACGGCCGTCGTGCACAACTCTCCATGCCACCGTACTAGGACCTTCGATCCAATCGAACCTGGTGATGAGGCAGTATTAGCCTGCTCCCCTGGCATGACTACTGGATGATTGGTCAACCCTCCGCAGAAGCGACGTTGACTAACTAATTCCCAAACAAATGGACAAATGTGGAAGGAGTTCCAGTACGTTGAGCAAAGGTCAAGCTGCCTGTGCCAGGTAGTTCAGGAAATCCGCCACCCAAACTTGCCAACGTCTGTCAACATAACATTAGTGTATATTAGTGTGCATTAATGTATACAAAGTTAATGAAATAGGGACTTTGCTACATTCGTAGAGTCCTTGCTACCTTCGTAGCCATGCACCTTGTTACTAGTAGCTTATTGTTACTAGATTTACTAGTAGTATCGACCCCCAACGGCAGCGCTTCAATTTAAAGTTCAAGAGCACACCATCCCTTGTTTTGTGACTGGTGTTGTCAGGATGCAGTCTTGGCATCGTCCGTTGTCAACGTCATTGAGTCATTCCCGAAACTCTTCATGTCCAATCAATGAGATTTGTCCAATCACCTTCCATCTGTTTGGGCTTTGCTCCGGTCTTCCTTGCCGAATCGGGTCGTGCCAGTCTGTCCGTCCCACACAAGAAGAGTCTTTTTTGCGCGCACCTCTGTCGTGCCTCTGCGAAGGAATGGAAGAGTCGTGCCTCCAGAAGTTTCAAACATGGATCGTTTCACAGACTCTTTAGCACAGCGGAAAGTTTTGCAAAAGCTTTTAACATCTTTAGCACAACATGTTTCTTTATTGGGTGGGATGTGTGTTTTTGGAGGTGTAGGGAGGTACGTCAGCTGCCTCCTCCTTGCAGTAAAGGAAAGGGAAGGGTGTAGGACACCGTGTTCTCAGGTATGACATCGGAGAAGTGGCAGATTGCGTCTACAGGCGCTTCGCCGCTATATGTGAAGCCGGTCCACAGTAGCCAAAAAGAAGCTACCAAAAGCATGTCATGTCATCTCTCATCTATCATGCCATCAATATCTATGCAACAACAACGGACAGGCAGTATAAAAGAAGTCAATCAGAAGAACAGGTGCCAAAGCACAGGACACGGTAGGCAATTATAGGGAGTTCAGGGCCATAAAAGTCCAGCAATGTATGCAACCCCACACATCACAATGGAAAAAGGCCTCCTTTTAGCTCGTCATTATTGCCTGGAACTGCAAGATGCTGCGCCAGTCTGCAGGTAGTGGCATCCGCTGGCAAGGCACTAGATCCACCTCCTGGGGAAGGAGGACGTCTTCGGGCAAAGCTTGACAGTCTGTCGCGCGGCGAGCGAGGCCATAGTCGAATTTGATCTCAAAAGGATATCCAAATCTCATCTCATCAAAACGAACCAAGGCCATGAAAGTCCAGAAGGTTAACTTCTTGGCCCTCCCGTCCAAACCCAGATCTACTAAGACATACCAGAATCGACGCTCCACATTCGAAAACCCCACCCCCCTCCGCCGAAACCGCGGAATCCGCGCTCCTGTGGTGCGCTTTCGGCCATCTCCAGCAAGTCCAGGTTCGGCGAGTCCGGCTTTAAGCCTCGGGCTCCGACCCGGGCGGGGTCGGCTGCGACTCTTCGGGATATTCCGAAAGAATCGACACCAGTCGATATGTCCCCTCCCAAACCAGAAAGGCTATATTAATTGAATGAAACCCTACTAAACCCTACAAATCGGACAATGGACACAAACATGATGTATATATGCATATGTATGCCCCTGAGAGTCCAAGTTGGACTCCAAAAAATCAACTCTGGCCTGGTTGCGGAGTGGATTCCTTATGACCTTCCAGGTGGAGAACCTCTCCTCTTATGAGCGAGTCCATGCACCTTCGAAGCGAGCGTGACTCGCTCCAAGGTCCAGGCACCACCAGAGGCGGAAACACGAGGCCTGGCCGGGGACGACCGGGGCCCGTTAGAAAGCGCCGGACATGCTGTGGTCATGTGACGCTACGGCCAAAGCTTGGTAGAAAATGAATAGAAAATCCCCTCTGCTGGATGGTTGATGGTTGTATTTCGGTCGTAGCTCACGTAGCACTGATGATGAGAATGATGGACCATGTGTCCAACTACCAAGTGTACTGTGTACTGTAATTACAGTCAGTAGCCAGTTCAATGTATGTGCGTTGTGTGTGTGATCTACTTTCTCTGTGTGTACATTACCAGTACAGGGCAGTTTTTTGCCACTCATGATTGTGGGAAAACGACCACACAACTCTGGCCCCGCTCGTCCTGCTGGTTTGGGTGACTGGGTCAATTCCTCTCTGCATCCAATCTGGACACAACTCAACTCTTATTGACAACCCTCTTATTCTTCAAGTCTGCACAATCGACCAGAACCATCCGGAAAACGATTGCCGTAGGTACAGAAACGAATTAGTTCTCCTGTGAACACCTCCGCACCTGCAGTAACTTGCATCTCGCTCTCAGCATTTGCTCCCTCAGCTGAAAAGCACGTGCTTGTGCTTGTGCCTCCCGCGACCAAAGCCGATGAAACCAAGACTCTGAGATGGAGGACAGTCACATTGTCGGGTCCAAACAGTTGAGGTCTACATGGTCAACAGCCAGGGCCCCTAAAAGGGGTGTCTAATAATCGCCCCTTAGAGGTCATTTGGGGTGTCCATTCACCACCCCCTTAGAGAACCCCTGGAGACCCCGTCCACACGATCCTCGAAGCGGGCGGTCACCGCTCCGGGGGTCACACGAGCGTCCGCAAAGTGGGTCAACGCATTGAGTGGCAAGACTGGGGGAACTCGACCAAGGAATGTACTAGACTATCTGATGTATTGAAGTCTGTACGCTACATTGATTAGAGATTATTCCGATATTAGACTGGAAGTCATGACTTCCAAGCTAGCTACCACGTCTACCACGTGCAGATTGCCGATGTTGACAGGGACCCACCCAACGTACTGAGCCAACCTCTTGGGTCCAAATCCACCCCACGACCGTCCTCTTCTTGGATCCGTTGCACCCGACCTGCCGCCGAGGTCGCGGGTGGAACGAACGGAGAGTCGACTCCGAGCGGCGCTCGGCTCGGGTTTTGCGGACCAAACCGGGACCAGGGGACATGAGACAACCCAGCCGTGTCGAGACGGACGCCTGAGGTCCTGAGAACGCTCATTTTTGGTGGATCCTTCCGAAGGTGAAGATGTGATGCACAGACCATCATGGGACTGGCATCTGCGCCTCTGGCCAATTTGATGAAAAGAAAGCTTCACCACCACCGACCCCCCGGCCCGGGCAGGTTCACGCTGCACCATGCCACCCTCCTTCGGTCTGGGCGACCCTGATTGGTCCGGGAGATTCGTGGCCCAAGGGATTTGGCCTCCTTCCTTTCATGGGAGCCCGTTTCTGGGAAGAGAACCTCCCCCGGTCCGGGACGGCCCCTTCATCGTACACTCGACCTGACTCAGGCTTCCCCACCTTCGCACTCAGCCTCCAGCTCTTTGAGGCGACCTCGCGACCCCCGGCGCGGACACCCAAGAGCTCCGGGCCGACCCCGAGTGGTGCTCGGTGCTCAAGGTCCGTCACCGACGGTCCCGTCATGGAGCTATGAGTTGAGTGGTCCCGGCGTGTTCTTTCGCTTGGAATGAGTTTTGAGACATCTGTGGGTGGAAAACTGGGGAAAACGAATGGATTTCAACAGGCAATTCTCCCCCAAATGGTTCTTTCCCGATGTCCAGTCGTCCACTCTGCGTTCCGAAGCTCTATAGACTGTGGACTTTGGATATTCATATTTAGAAACCAGTTGCAACTTACAAATGTTACAAAATCTGCATGCATCTTGATTCCTTTTAAACATGTTTAAACATGTGTTCTACACCAAAACACTTTCTTGGAGATCCTCAGAGATCCTGGAACCCTCATTCAGATCAATCTCATGATATCCTCAGGCCACCTAAGACTCCTTATGACCTCCAACAACTACCATGTCGTTTTGAGTGTCTCTGGCGTGTCCAACTACCGAGGAAGACATTGGACCGGATCCCCGCACAGTCTGAGCGCGTGCCAAGCTTCCGCGCCAGCACAGTCAGCCTCCAGTTGTCGAAGATGACCTCGGCCCCAGAGGGCACGGGCTTATCCTGAATGACTGGCAACACGATCATGGTTTGCCGGTGTCTGACGCTGCTGTCCTATAGAACGCAGTCCTGAGGCTGCGAACAGTCATGGAACAGCCTGAAAACCTGAGAAACCAACACCTCCGGCAGAACAGGTCACCATTCTTGCTTCCACCTGGTAGATCCTGGTAGTATTTTACTTGGTCGCCTCGAACAACCTGTGCAGCTGCAGGTCCTCGACTCTTGAACTGAACCCGATGAAAATCGCTTTGTGCCGATTTGGGGGCTACTGTACCAATGCTTCATTTTCACCTGGCATGCCATGGCCCACCACCGCGTTGCACCCAAAATCGAGCTCCCCAAGCTCTCACTGTCCGCCTCCAATTGTCGGAGTCGACCTGAGGTCGTCCGCCGGTTTGGGGTGGTGGACCGATACTGTCGGACACCAAGAAACCAAGCCTCGTCACACCAACTACTCAGCCTCAGCGAAGCTGCTAAGCCTCGTTAGGGCAACCAAACTAACATGATGCAAGAATGTAGAAGAAACAAAACTATAGATCCTGAAAGGGCAGTCAAGACAACGAACTCAAGTCGACGCAAAACGGATTGCACTTGGTGGCTAAGTCATCTCAAAAGAACGTTTGACAAGTGACGCCAAGTGTGATAATTCTCCCATAGGGCCGCGATTGCAACAAAACAAATCTTCCAAACCAGCAAATTTGAAATCAGCCTGAACAAGAAACCCTCTCCCGGGCCACCCCACTCTCACTGTCAGCCTGTTCCTCTCTCAGGCGGCCTCGGGAGTGCGAGACGAAGAGGACTTCGCTAGCATCGATCGCTCCCAGGCCCCCTCCGTTGACAGGCATCGATCGGTTGCATTGGACACAGGATGAACCAAACTGGATGAACAAAATGTTTGAGCTAAAGCAACCTGCAGATTTCTGCACCCGATCACATTGCACCCCACCTTTTCAGGAGAAAGATGGAGAAAGGATCTCTTTTTCATCCCAGGTAGAAATTACACCTCCACCGGCCGGCCGGTCGAAGAACCCGAGACGTGGCCGAAGCTTCGGTTCTTCCTCTTGGATCCCCTTGGCGCTCCAAGCCCTCGTAGTCAGACTGGAGCTCTTGAAGACGTTCCTCGTAGCCCAGGCGGAGCTCCTGGAGACGTCCTCCGCTGCGAAAGACAGATCTGACATGACCTGACCTACTACTTAGAGAGAAGACTTGGGGCCATCCTGAGGATCATCCGGTCATTCTTTTAGGGCTCCCAATACGCTCCCAAAGTCGTCCGGACAGTCCGGACCATCCGGGTCGTTGATCTACTTCAGTTCCAGAGACCATCCCCTTCAGTGGCCGTGCTTGACCCAATTACTCGTTCATACAGTCGCACCATGTTTCTAGACCATGAAGGCAACCCTCTACTCGTCCGAAAACGAGACGGTGGGGGGACAAAGAAGGTCGGAGGTCGGCTCTGTCTGAGGGCGCCTTCTGCCCCCGCATCCAAGTGGTCACACGAATTAGACCCCTCACTACACCTGCACTCACCCACGACGTGCACTTCACCCCCTGTTCGTAGAGCAAAATGGTCTTCCCGAGCCCTATTTTCCACTTTCAGGTTAGTGGGTCAGGGTGTAAGAGTGACGCTCACCGGACGCTCAGTGGACACGTCGAGAAGGCGCCCATGGGCCCGCGCATCCGATGACGCTGGAAAGGCATCCAAACTCGTTTGATTTGAAGGGGATCAATTGGGACATCCACCAACCAAGAACTAAAGGCCATCACCTTCGAGGGCGCCATTCAAAATTGCTTGATACTGTCCAGATGGTGCAAGTGAAACGACACCTCTTTGATTCAATGACATAGATTTGAATGCTTTAAAAAATACATGAAAATACTGTACATGTCCTCTACATGCCCCTTTGTAGCTTCACGCAAAAAGACAGCCACATCCTTCACTAGTCGTCCCACTCCCATTTCCGGACTCCATCTCGCTCCACGCCGCGCTCCGCCGCCGTCGTCTCCTTCGCTGTCTTTCAGCCGTCCTGTCGCAGCGACCCGTGGAGCGGAACAGCTGTTTCCAGCTGGCACCCCGGAAATCTGGGCCCCAGCTGGTTCATGGTTCATTTAAAAGGACATGAAGACCCCAAAAAAGACCCCCAAAAGGGTCTGCGTATCTGCAAAGTAGGGTCACAAAGCAATCCACCGGCGCGCCCCAGCTCCGCTCGGCAAGGCGAGAAACCGAGAATTCCGGCACCGGCGCGCCATTGCCGTAAGAAGAACCTAGTGTGACACAGTGGTTGAAATATGTTGAAATCATTGGGCAGCCCTTCAAAGCTTTTCACAACCTTTCAGATTTCAGCCGGTAGCTCAGCTCCTCACATCATGAACATCAGCGCGCACGCGCATGCACACATACACAGACACCATGTGTCTCCGTTCTGATGGTTCCAACCCATTCAAATGATGGCTCATGTTTAAAAAAAAGGCATGAAAGGAAGAGATCCAGGGTGTTTTGGAGTCCATGAAAACCGGATGCCACGGGTTCCCGGCCTTCGCTGTCTCTCAGCTGTCCTGCGGCCCAAATGCGGGCAAAAAAAAAGCATACCAAATGGGACCGGGTGGAGCACAATTGGTCTATAACGGTTCACGATGTGTTCGTCTTGTGCTTGGTGACTTGGATTCTGTGCACCACACGTCAAAGCAGCCAGCTTTCTTTCAGGAAACAGCTGATCCTCTCAACACGTTGCTTGTATATAGTCCTTTTTAGTACTTTTCACAGCAGCAGCTTTTAGCTGCTTGGGACCCCCCAAAACAGACACCAACTTGAACCGTATGCAGTCTGGGTAATTGCGTATTCTTTCATGTATCATGAATCCAGAGAGGCTCCTTGAGACCCAACACCGAAACAAATCTCAAAGGCCTGGCCATCCCTCTGCTCTCGCCTTCGTAGTCTGTCTGGAGCGCACGGAGTTGGCCTAAACACCACCAAGTTCCATGTGTTTTAAAAACACAACGGTGTGCGGAGAAGGGTGCGCGGAGAGTTTCGGGAGAAGCCCATGGGCCCCAACACCTGTTGATTACATGACCCACAATGACCCACACCATTTTTTAGCAAATCCCCGGGCGATGCCTGTCACAGGCACAGGCCCTGTCAAGTTTCATTAGCTGCTCATCGCTTCTCTCCCCATGGAATCCGGGCGATGCTCTCAGTGACCCCCCGGCTGGATGTTTCGGGCCAGAAAGATGGTTGTTTCGACCTATGTCCATCTTGTAAGGAGTGCAACAGCCGGCAAGCTTGATTCAGCCCTATTTTTCCCTGCTCCCCAAGAAAGACCACTGCAAACAGCTAGAAGCCAACAGAAGCAGCTAGATTTAATACGCCCTGTTCATCCCTTTTCTGGTAAGACCCACGACATGCGTTGAACAGTCATTTTTTATGCTCTAAGCATCAGTGGACCCTCCTATGGAGGCTTTGACCCTCAAAACCTTTACCTTTGAGGGTCCATGATTTCTTAGGGTGGAAGGATTCCCTGACTATTATGTGTACAATAATTGTATGCATGCTTAGTTAAAAAATGATAAAAATACACTGCGACTTCACATCACTCCGCTACTGAGTGGAACTGTTCTTACACTCCAACCGGCCTCTTTTTTCGGAATGTTCGCAATTTAAAACAAAAAGACTCAAAAAGAAACGCTCCCTTTCCAGCTGGTCGTTCCACTGAAGGCTTAGCTGGTCGTCCATGGCCTTCGTGGTCGGCCCTCTGGGCGTGGAAGCGCCCTTCGTGGTCCGACTGCAGCTCGCGCACGCGGCCTCGGACGGTCATCGTGGAGTGGTGGTGGACATCTCCGGCGTTGGATTCAACTCTCACCTCTCAAACCAAGAACGATTGGGTAGGACGGCGAGATGCAAGGGCTACACGGAATATCGCCTGCATGGAAGATGCCTGTGGCAACTGGCTTGGGCTTGGACTTCATCCCGAACATGCTCCAACCAACTCAGGAATGTGCAGAGACATGTCAAGGAGACATAGTAGTGGTATCACTGGGATGTGTCATAGGAACCACCCCCAGCGCCGTTCTAGGAACACCACAGGCTGCCTGTCAAGCTTGAGCTGGAAGGGTTTTGAAAGCGTGCCAAGTGCATCCAAGTGGGCCATAGAGTCATAGAGGGTCTTACGCCCTGGTTCGGGGGACACTTGCTGGGCAATGACATTCCAAGCAGCTCAGTGAACCGGAGAAACCAAACATCGGTTTTCCGTTTAAAACCAAGGTCCCATTCCAACAAATACCATCCTTCTACACATGTCTAAAACCATGTTTTTTGCAAGTGCAAGATTCTGGTGGTCCCTTCCTTCGACGTCGTCCCGTGCGCTCCGGCGCCCGTGTCGTTTCGTTTCTCTGGGCCGCCCATGCCCTCATGCTCGGCGGAGAGCTTTTGGAAGCGTCCTTCGTGTTCCGACTGAAGCTCGCGCAGGCGACCTGGCCGCGGAGTGGGGGGTCTCCTGCATTCTCCTGCGCTGTGCCTACCAGAAAGGCCCAGCTAGACGCTCCTTGGAAGGTTGACAGCCACAACCCGGTCGAAAAAGTGACCCCTTGGAATCCCGAAAGCAGTCCCTTGAATCCGAAGGCTAGTGCCCCATCGTCCGCCTTCGTAGTCGGCCCTCTGCGCGTGGAAGCGCCCCTCGTGGTCCGACTGCAGTTCGCGCAAACGGCCTGGAGAAAACGCGCGAACGGCCAGTTCTTGCAGGGGAGTTCTTGACCGTGAAGGGCCGCCGGGTCAGCTTTTCGGTTGGGCGGTGGGAACGTGGGAACGTGTGGGAACGTGCGGGAACGTGCGGGATCCGCTCACCCAGCGGCGGGTCGAAAAACGAGTGTAAACGAGTTGAGTCGGCAATTCGAGATGAATGGCACCATGATGGCATGGTCAACATGAGATATGATGAGTCTGCATCACATAGCCACAAGAGAAGGGAACAATCACCACCAAAACAACAGAAGCACACCCAAAGGATCCAACAACATGAGGGCATGGTCACCACCCGCCCACTCCGCCGGGGAGGTGAGTCGCATGAATGCGCTACGGCACCTTCACTGTGCGTCTGCAGCTCGTCGATCCGTCCTTGGTGGCGACCCGAGGAGCCGTGGATTCTCCGAGCGATCGGAGCGGCATCGCGGCTCGCGCTCCTGGCACGACCTACGAACGTCACAAGAACGGGCATGACCCGGGCATGACTAGTCTGGGTGGACATCTCCGGCCACGCTCCGGTGGACCTTCGGTTTCAGAAAGGGACGGCCTCGACGCCCCAGATTCGCCACCAGGTTCCTGACACGAATGGGTCGGGAATACCTGAAGAATAAGTAAAATAAAAAAAATAGGCTTTTAGGTCACCTCTCTTACAAAAGGGACCCTACCGTAGCAGCATTCCCAGAAGCACACCCTGACACCCTGGACTTTTTCGACAATATGAACCACTCAAACCTTTTAGCTACAGCTACTGGTCCAGCTCACGGCGTACGCCCCGTACGCCCCGTACGCAAACCCGGGACGATCCCGGAGTGGACCCCACCGTGTTGCGAAGCCCAGACCGGTCCGAGGTCCCCCGACGTTCGTGGCCGGACTGTTGCTCGTCCAAGCGTCCTTGGAGAGTCCACGGTGCGCGACTATACTCTCCATCCGAACGAGCGCGCGAACGGCGCAGGAGGCATCACACGACGAGACTCTGATTTGGACCGAACAGAATCAATAGTTGGATCACCAAAAAACACAAGAGAGTATGGCTCGCAGCAGACTCTATCCAGCACACACAGTCCGCGATGGGTTTCTCTCATGGCAAAGTGGGGTCTCAACCCATAGTGTAGCATCAAAATGATACCCGATGCGTACACCCTACGTCTGTCCTTCCAAGTCACAGTCAACCTCTGGGTGTTTGGGAGCTTCTTCTCCAAGCGACGTCACCCGCGGTCGTGCCGCGTGGGCACGCACGACCAGCGCTCAGCCGCCCCGCTACCACCGCTTCCGAAGGGGTGAGAGTGTGGAAACCAACAGGGAACTCTGGGTGTGTCCAAGGTTGGGTATGTCCAACACACAAAGTCCAATATATATAGCTGTCATATATACTGTATATTGTTATTTCGGCTTTTGATCCAGCCTGTGTTCAGATGGTCCAAACACCATCTGCAAATCTGGGCGAACCCCACGCTGGCTTTCCGACTGGAGCTGTTGAATGGTGCCTCGCAGATCCGCAGGCGCGATCCGCTTGGGGAGATTCCTTGAGTCGTTCCTTTGACCGGGCAGCCAATATCATGGGCGCCCCAGTGGTTGCTTTGGGTCACGAAGTCATTCGAACGCCCAGTCATTGGACCCCCCGGTGGGCGGGATGAGGATGAACAGCTCGAGTATACGGCTCTCAAAGGACTGGATCGTTGGGTTCATAGCCCGAGGTTCCCGTTCTTCATCACTCACCCATCATGTCATAACGAATTACAATCACCTGATATCACCTGATAAGTATTGACATGTATTGACATTGATGCAACTGAAGTCGCGAAATTTGCCGGCCTACAAATATACCTGCAGCACCCTCTGCAGAAGGATTCTTCTTGTGCAAAAAAGGTAGAGACTTTGGAGGTTAATGGTTCTTTGGAACGTATACGCACTCCGCGTACTCCCTACTCGTTCGACTCTGTTCCAAGCGCCAAGCTCTTGCTTTCGGACTGATGTTGATGGAACAAGCCTCAGGCATCGAAGGGAACGAGCCGGTCACGGCACCGCCAGCATCTGGCGGGAAGAACGAAAAACGGGGGCCTTTCCTGGGAAACAGGGGTATGAAAGTGGGAAACGCCCAGAGACTCCTTGAAGATACTGAGGGGGTATGGAAGTGAGGAAGACGCTTTGGAAATACAGCAGCCATTCCGAAAGACAAGACGGTGTGTGTGTGTGTGTGCGTGGCTGATGAATACAACCCCCCAGACATGAATTGTAAAACCTCTTCAGGCTTGGAGAGAGTCATTACTCTGGCTGCTGCTGTTCTCTACATGTTGAACTTTGCCTGAAGCTTTTGCAGGTCGCTGCTTGGCTTCCCTGGACTCCCTGGACACTCCTTCCCGGGCTTCCCGGCCCTTGTGTTCTTCCTTCTCGGCCTCCAACTGCCGCAAGCGCCCTCGGCCGAGCGCTGAACGGGTCTTCAGCCGCTTCGCGGCGCCGGAAGGCTGTCAATGGAAGGCTGTCACAAATGCCTGGAGCAGCTCATCGGAGCATCCAATTTTGGATGAGCTTCCCCAGCTTCCCAAAGCTGAAGCTGGAGGAACAACTGCGCATCCCATGCATGGAGTCTGCTATGGTTTTGAGCGTCAAACGGGGATGTCCCATCATACCTCCCACTTTCCCCACCATTCCAAAGCCACCTCGGTGTAAAAATAAACGACTGAAAAAAAGTAAAAAAAGGTCCAATCCGCATGCGAGGATGGGCGGGTGAGTTTGCCCTCTTGAAAAAAAGGACAGATCAACCAAAAACCAAAAATCTTCAGTCTCCACTTCATTCGCCACAGGGGTGTTTGGCAGCACCGGAGAACACCCTTTTCAAAGTCGACCGAGCAAAAAACAGTAAGAAAGCACCTCCAACCAAATGCAAAGCCCCAGCTCTTGAGGGGATAGAGCTCCAACAAGTGGGGGGCCCCCGGCCTTCGACCTGTCCCAGTCTTGTCGCCACCCTCCGTGGTCGTCGGCACCCGCTGGGCGTTCCGGACGTTCGTAGTGGGCCGCCTGCTCGGTCAGCCGACCTAGACGCGGACCCGGTCGGGCAGGGCCGGTCTGGGCAGGATTCGATGGAGCAAAATCTTCCAACAGCTTCAGAATCCAAGATCTGCAGGCCTTGTACACTGTAAAGCCGTCAAACACCTATACGGTTTTTCAAGGGCGTTCGCACCTGCTGTGGTTGGTGCCGTGCCCGAAACTGGTTGCAACCATCCGGCCACAACTCCAAACACTGTCCTACTGTGTCCTCACTTCACTCCCCAGGGAAAAATGTCCCAAAGTGCAAGTGTTGACAGGTCTCTGGACGTTGTGTTGACGTTGGACATGGTCTTGAGGGGTTGCGCCGCCCCAGATCAATACCATTATTGGTTGCCATCCCATCTTTCTTCCTCAGCACATGCCACACCCCTCACCAAACCACCTTCTTGCTTTAAGCCATCGAGTGCAACCCTATAAATGTGTCCGGGTAAAATCCTAGGATATACAGGCCCTAGAGAAGAGAAGAGTCCAGTCTGAGTCTGATTCGAGCCTTTCAAATTAATCGACTCGACTATATTGTACATAAGTTTTATTGACACAGATTCTCATGGACCCTCCTAAGTGTACGGTACCAAGGCCCATCTGCAGGGGTCCGGACCCTCAAATCCCTGGGATTTGAGGGACCAAGGCCTGTTTGTTGGAGCCTTGGGACACAACGAATAGCCAAGGCCTTGGGGTTCCCTACAACGTCGCCTCCCCCACTCATGATCACTCGCGGGTCCTCGTCGGTTGACCCGGACGGGTGGACGCGAAGAAAGCGAATGAAACAGTTTCGCCGTGGAAGAACCCTAGTTATCCCACTTGATAGAGAACCCCACCAGGTTCACCGTGTTTGCCACCCCAGAGGTCTTCGAAGGACGGCGGTTTTCTATTGAGGCGCCCAACGTTGAGCCTCCGCCTGCTGCTCCTTCATTCGACCTGGGTGGCTCCATCCGAAGGGAAGAGGTGAGCTCAGTAGATGAAGCTTGGAACATCTCTATATGAGCATGGTTGTAAACCATGTGCAATACTGCCCTTTTGGTCTTTGGGTGCGTTGGCCTGAGGTTGCCGCCAAAGGAGCACCGTCAAAACGTCGGATTTGGCGGGTCGATGCGGGTCGTTGAGCCCCAACTAATTGACGAACTGACCTGGAATGGTGGATGTTTGAGTTGTTCTGCACCGAGGCAGGCGATGTCCACGGCCATTCCCTCCTCCGCCCGCTGGGCACCCCTCACTCTCCCAGTCGGTTTGCATCTCACGCACACGTCCTGGCGACAGGAGGGCCATCTCGAGCCCATGGGCCACCCTGCACCACCCGCCAGGCGGTGAAGCACGCGACCGGGCGGTGAACTCGACCGATCCTTCCCACCAACCGGACGCGACCACGCGCCATTCTGCGAAAAGGGGCCGTCAACTCGATCGGTTGGCTTGCTAACGGGGCGAACGCAGGATCTCTGACCTCCGTCTATTCTTGAGTTTTGGCTCCAAGAATGGAATTGAATGGCGATGGGTGGGTTGTTGGCATGTTCAGCACCGGTCCGATGCTCTTCACCCCAGGCCCCCCGGACGCTCGTGCGCCGAGTGCTGCTCTTGCAGACGCCCTGGCACGGTTCGTCCTGGAACGGTGGGTCCCGGGCCCACCGTTCCAGGACGAAGGGGGACCGGTTGGGATGCCCCTACACATGACCAGTTTTGTTATGCATAGTGGTTATGGCTAGGAGGTTTGGTTGGAAGAGGACTGGAAGTTTGGTTGGTTGGGACTGTGGGTGTGTGAAAGTGCAACATGCTTCTCAACGGTGTATCAAAACCTTGCCCCTACCCCACATCAAAGCAATGGTTATGGCTAGCATCATCCCCCTAAAGTGAATAAAGGGGATGTCTGGCTTCTGTGGTTTTTTTATCGAGACGTGCCTTGCTTGCATCCACCCTTCAAGCACCCTCTCCATGTGGCCAATCCTAGTCTTCTAGCATGGCCCCCAGCTTTACTTCGAAGGCAAGAAGATGATCTCCACCCGCGAGGACCTCCTCTAGGTCTACCTGAAACACCTGCAAAAAGAACACCTCTACTAAATGATCTATAGGGAATCACACTTTGATGGCATCCCGCCTCTGGCACAACATGATGGAAATGGTGTACCACTAGGACCTTACCGGAGACCTATGTTTTGAGGCTGGATGCCATCAAAGTGTGCTGCGTTGTGACTCTGCGGTTTGAGGATTCCGTCCCCCACATGTGATTCTCTTTCACGCAATGGCTGTAAGGTCTCACTTTCACAGTGTTCACTCACAACGGTGTTTTTTCTCTCTCTCTCTCTCTCATGCCATCAACCAAGCCCAGATGCCATCAACCCAATTGCTGCACGGATGTTTGCATGTAAATCCAGCTAGTGGTTGAAGCCTTTTGAAGAACGTCGGTTTTTTTTCCAAAATCTCACTAGATGCCATCTATTTGTTCCAGGATCTAGCCTCAAGTGGTTGATGGCATTTCCCAACTAGAGATCACAAATTAATGGCATATCAAAGGTGTTTTGCGAGTGCCAAAGTGTGATTCCCTATAAATGGATCGGAACGACTTCAACCTCCAACCACCAAAGCTCCCCGGGTCGGATCGAAAGAAACCCCAGTTCAGCACAGCACAGCGCCGCCGTGGCGGCTGAAGCCACACAAAGAGAGCCCCGGTGCCCTCGGCGGCGGCAGCCTTCGAAATCGGACTTGTGCTCGTGGATGCGGCCTCGAAGGAAACAAAGCCGCTAGTTGTGGATAGCATGGAGTGCCGTGCGTGTGTCACACTGTGTGTGTGTTTGGGGGTCTGAAATATGCTGAGATGACTGGATGCTTTGGCCCTCAAACTTCATGTTACCTGGTTGGAGGTCACAACTGTTGTCGTGCCTGGTTGGCGCGTGGCCGCCGCTGTGGCCACCGCGGCCCGAACACCCAAAGAGAATCGGTGTTCCAAGTGAAAGGGTTTTTCGAAAGACCTCGATCCATGGGTGGTTTTCGGACAGTTTTCGGATGGTTTGAATCCAGGAATGCCAATCTGTATGTATATATATATATATTTGTATAGAGAGAGAGAGAGAAAGAAAGAGAGAGCAGCCAGCATTCCAGGACAGGACGTCTCGAGGCAAGTCAAGGGAGGCCCTGAGGACGTCTGGGTTTTCCGCTCACCCAGCAGCCGTCTGCATCTCGTCTCCCCTTTTCTTTCCGAGCCTGATCCTACACCATGGTGAGCCAACAAGCCACGATCAGCCGGTATATTCCCATATAGCCGTGCACAGTGGGATGAGGATGCTTCCGGTGGCCAAGCTTTCTGGGTCACACCGGTCCACCAGCCTGACATCCGAGTCACTCTCGTAGCCCGACTGCAGCAGCTGGGCACGTCCTGACAGGGGGGGTCATGGTCAAAATCGTTGGTGGCCAAGGTGTCCGGGAAACGAACAGCAAAAACCGACCTGGTTTGGATATTCCACCTTAGCCTTAGCCCTTCATGGTTTGCCCATGTTTGGCATCGGCAGAACCGACACCTGAGGTCAGACTCTGAGCTCGGCACGCTCGGCATCCCCCCGGTCTGGTCGTCCGTTCGGTCCGGTGCCCAGTAAAATGCACGAACCCTGGGCGCCTGCGTGGCTGTCCGCCGCACTCTTATGCTCGGACTCGGACGCGCTCGGACGAGAAGCGCTCGGCTCGGACGGAGCGGGCAGCGGTGCCGTGTGGGGCGGCCAGGGCCGTGTGGATGAAGCTGGATCCACAAAGTAAAACGTTTCCAGCTGGCACTCTCAACATACGTATAAACAATGTCACAATGTGTTCCTGTTTGCTTGTCAGCCGTCAACCGGGTGATCTTGACCTCTCCGGTGACAGAGATATCATCAAAGCCCGAATTCGGGCCAAGACGAGCGACGAGACCGGACCCGAATCTGGCTCATTCATTCTACAATTCGTCGCTGGAAAGGATGGACGAAGAGGTGAGCTACAGCGGCTCATGGTCTTTTTTTCCTGATGGTTCTTGTAAGAAGTCATAGAACCGTTTCGAATTGGATGCTTGTGTTGGGCGTCCAACTCTGTGTTTGACTTTGGCTTGAACAACCTTCCGGAAGGATCTGCAGCAGTTTGATTTGCAGGGAAACTCCGTGGCGTGCGTTTTCTCTCTTTTCTCTTGAACCCAGAATGGGGAGGACGACCACTTCGCCAAGACGTGTGAAAGAGTTGGAAAGCCATAGGTGCCAAGTAAGACCACCGCCGCTTGGCATAGCTTGGCTTGGCGCCCCCGCCGCCAACTTCTCCAGCTCTTGATTTCCTGGGACCGCAAACGGTTTGGGGATGAGCACTGAAAACATCAGGCTGAACGCGCAACCCCGCCCTTGCATGCGTTGCACGCTCTTAGCAAGTGCACCTGGACACTCATGAAGTATATTTTGATAGAAGTCCACATGTCTCTCCCATTCATTCTTTAGGCCTTTGTGTTTCAGTAGAGAGATGTCTTTCAGACAGGACGACCCGTGTTTGCAGCTTCTTTCAGTTCCGGCCCTCAAACGGCCCTCAACCTGCGGCCGGTCTCCATGTCCGCCCCTGACCTACCACTCAAAGCTCCGCCGGCAAAGGTCCGCAAAAAGATACAGAGGGAACCTCTGTTTTGTGGGGGGCGCGGCGCACCTGCATCCCTGCATACAAAAACCACGATGGGTTGTTGAACCCCAGTTGAACCCCATCAGACAACCCTCCAAAAGGCAGGGGCTTCTCAGATACAGTAGATCTTAAGAATTCGAACGACTACTTGATGTAAATGTCCACATCATCTGATTTTCAGAAGGTCAAGCAGCTGATTTGCCCCCACTTTTCTACCAATAGGATCCGAAGAAATAGTCTTTCGGGGTGAAGAACATTTGGGTACAGCTCCATGTTGCGACTGTAGTTGTGTACAACCATGTATGGTGATCGTCAAATAGTACTGCAATGCGTGATATACAGTAGACTATAGATGTATAGATAGAAACAGAGTCCAATACGACATTATATAGCAGAGCAGTTTTACACTGTCATGGTTTGACTCCGGCCTGAACGCCGAGCGTCGCTTCAACAGCGCTTGCAGCTCGGCAGACTGTTTCTGGAAGTCCTCCTTCATCAGCTGCGAGGCACGGCTCGCCTGGTCGATGGATGCTCGCTGAAGCACGCGTCGCCCGCAAAAGCGCGGTCGGATGGAAGCTGCAAGTGGTTGGATAGCTGGCTTGCGCAAGGTTGGATGGGTGGTTTGCTTGGCTGCTTTGGCGGTTGGGTTGTTTGGTTGGAGAGCTGGTTTGCTCGGTTGGTGAAGTTGCAACCAGTTACTTGAGTGGTTTTTCACTATAGGTCCTAGGTTCCAAGGTCTAAACCTGATAGTGAACACCAACATGGATAGATTCTGGTGACGAATCCCCACCGGGAAAGGTTAATTCGACACCGAAGAGCAGCCCCAGCTGGTGCCGGCTCATCTTCAGCCCAAACGCCAGACTATCCCAGACTGGCAGTTGATCTGATATGATCTGATACACACCATACTGTTCACTGCTATGAGGGTGGGGTCGACTCAGGGATGATCCTTCTCTCCTTCCGTGCTTCGCACATCGGCCACAGTCACTCTGCTCGTCGCTTCAGCGCCGCTAAGCCGCATGCAGCCACATGCAGCCGCTAATAGGCGTATCGAATCGTTTCGTCCCCCGAATCCAGCGATCAACCGTTCCTACCCTGCTACTAGGAACAAGAAGCTACTAGGGGCTCCGGGCCTTACTACTAGGAGCGTTCGGACGCTACGAACGGGGCTCCTGGCATCGCTACTAGGAACAAAAAGCTAACAGTTCCTACCCTGCGCCCTCCAGCGATCCAAACCCACACGCGGCGAAGCGAAGGATCGGAGACGCGCGCCTCTGACTGTGAGAGTTGCGAGTGCCCTCGGCAGTGAGAAGGACGAACGGACGAATGGTACGAAGTCAACACCATGATCCACCGCAAATCCTAATCGGGGAGGCATAGACCTGCCGCATTTGTCTCTCTCACCCGCACCCGCAGGCTTTCATGCAAAATCCTCGTGTGTGTGTGTGTGTGTCAAGCCCTGTCTCGACGGGTTTTTTTTGCAATCAAGTGGTGCCGCAGGGGGCAGCAGGGAGTCCACAGTTCTGCTGCCAACGAAGACAGCTGTGGCCATTCCGTGAAGCAGATTGGGACGCCAATCTGTGTACCTGCCAGGAAACTGTTGATCACGCTGTCCAATTCCCTTCTTTTGTTTCCATGGTGGTTCATGATACTCCCACAAACCATTTTCCCTCCGCCGCTTTCAGCTGCTGCGCGTTCGTGAACTGCAGATGTGCACCAAGCCATTGTTGAAAACACCTACAACTCATCGGACTTTTCACCGTGCCGTTCTATCACCATTTCCTGGAAATTGAGTTAACTGAAAACCAATGTCGAAGTGTGAGCCGCTCAGCCGTCCCACATGGGTGCTGGGTGTGATCCTCCGCAAGGAGGCGCTGTTTACATACCGGAAATTGAGCCACTGAATTTTCCTTTCATTGACTTTTCCTCCTCGATCTTTCTCTACCCTGAATTCACTGCTCATACAGCTGTCGGGCTCAAAAATGAATTTGCCAGCCGCCGGGCTTAAAAACGTCTTTTTTCCCCCCACCTGAGGCAGGTCTCCCGACCCCCCCCACTGCGTTCTACTCCCTACCTAATTAGGGTAACAGAGTGAAATGGTACTCGACACACTTGTGTGTCGGTGCCTTTCCCTCTGTTGTCCCTTTTCTAGTCTACTCTACCCGGGCGGTTTAAGACTAAAGTCCCGCTCCCTAACTATTGCTAGAGTGCTAGGTATTCATACACACACACGTACACACACATGGACATACACCCCCTCCCTGCCCCCCCTTTTCTTTCTTGCGCTTTCCGTCGTTTGTTGGGCTTTCTCTCAGGCTTTTTAGGTGGCTCTTGAGGCTCGTTTCCCTACCCCAGTCAAGGGCTAAGTATTCATTTTTCTTTTTTTCTACACCTATCTTTCTCTCTTGCCCTCTTAGCGCTGCTCTTTCTGTCTTTCTTTCTTTCGTTTCTAAGGCTTTTTAGGTATCTATTCAGGTTTCTCACACGAGCGCCGCCAAGCGGCACCGTGTGTGTGTCAAGCCCTGTCTCGAAGGGTTTTTTTGCAATCAAGTGGTGCCGCAGGGGGCAGCAGGGAATCCACAGTTCTGCTGCCAACGAAGACAGCTGTGGCCGTTCCGTGAAGCAGATTGGGACGCCAATCTGTGTACCTGCCAGGAAACTGTTGATCACGCTGTCCAATTCCCTTCTTTTGTTTCCATGGTGGTTCATGATACTCCCACAAACCATTTTCCCTCCGCCGCTTTCAGCTGCTGCGCGTTCGTGAACTGCAGATGTGCACCAAACCATTGTTGAAAACACCTACAACTCATCGGACTTTTCACCGTGCCGTTCTATCACCATTTTCCTGGAAATTGAGCCACTCTAAAAACCTGCAGCCACTCCCTATGTCGTATCACTTTCCTTGCGCGAGGCCTTACGCGCTGCTTACGCGGCCCTCACTTTTGCTTACGCAGAGCAAACTTCCGAAATGCTTACGCGAAATGCTTACGCAGTCTTACGCAACCCAGGGTTTTGCTTACGCGGAATTCGATATGACAAGGTCCTTACTTAAGATGTAAAGGCAGGTTTTTAGAGCGGCTCAATTGAGTTAACTGAAAACCAATGTCGAAGTGTGTGTGTGCCTTCGATCAACAAAAAGAGAGCATCCAGTTCCGACCAGCAGGGGAATCTCAGGATTCGTCTTCGAGGTCCGTTCACATCACTGCAGGGATGCTGCGTTCGGGGAGCTTTGCGCATGGTGAATCCTTTCTTCGGAACAGGGTGTTCTCCTTTCGTCTCCCAAAAGATCACTTGACCGCTCTCCATCGATGTCAGTCACCCAGCCTTTATCCCGAGGCGCTGCGAAGCTGTTCCTGAAGCTCGAGACGTTGCTTCTCCAAGTCTGCGCGCATCAGCTCATTCTCCCGGCGGCTCACCTCGGTCGGTCTGTCTCCAACCCTGTGACGCCATGGCGGCCACTCGTGGCCTGGCTGGTTTTGGGATCCGGTGGTTCGATCCACAGCGGACAAAACGGGCTACACAAAACGGGATTCTACACGTACTTCCAGACCTGCAAGATCTGCAAGAGGGTTTTGAATGTCACCAGGCACCTTCCAGTGGGTCCTCGTCTTGAAGTTCTTGTGCTTTCCAGGCGCCCCTCAAACTCCTTCTGCCATTCTTTGACCCCACCGCGTGAGCCACCAACGTTGCGCACCCGAAGTCCCTCTCAGCAGAAACCGACCTGGTTCGCCATGGGACGGCGGGGGGTGGAGGCCCCGGCTTTAGGTGCTCTGGACCACCCGGCCCCCAGGGAGGTCTTCTGAACATCACACCCACAAATCTACTGAGAAATCGATGGGGGTGTCGGCTTCTGGGCCTCCCAGACTGCCAGCTGTTGGGAGAGATCCTCCACCTGAGGGATCCGCTCGCGTCGGGTCGGAGCAGTGGGAAGGTCCACCTGTGTGCCAAGAGATGCTCGTGGAAAGATGGCTTGTGGCATCCCATCTTGATCTACATCGAAGAATAATGGTGTGGGTGATAAGTAAATGAGGGCAAACGAGGACGGGATGAGGATAGGTGATGAAGGATGAGAATGAGGATGAGACAAGGATGAGGATGAGTTTGACAAGGATGCAATCCCTCGCTGTGGAATCCCCAACATGGTGAATTCTTCCTTAAACCACGATCTCCCGAAGCTCGTGGGAGGCGTCGCCCCCTCTAGCTAAAGCCAAAGCAATTTCTGGCGTTAAATAGTATTTAAAAATAGAAAATAGAAACAGTGCTTAGACCGTTGTGGACGATTGGTGGATGAGAATGGGAGAACCCATTACAAACCCTTTGTCAGGCCCACGATGAGAAGAATCGCCATGCCCCGCCTGCGTCGAAAACCGCTTGAGAGACTGCTCCTTCCGGCGTGGGTGGGATCAACAGCCAAAGAAATGTGCACAAACTAGAGTGAACACGAACATTCTATATTCAGGTATCCAAAAAAAGAAACAAACGAAAAGCGCGTTTATCCTCCCATGAATTCAGGCCCCACTTAAGCACCTGTTTCATGTTTCTGTTTCACCATGTTTCACCTAACATCTCATCTCCCCTACACCAAACGCCTCCCTGTTGCGACCTCTCCTGGTTGGCGATGGTCTCATGTAAGGACCGTTGCTGCTGCAGCGACCTCGGTCGCGCCAAGCCGCGAAGGTCGCCCTCTCTTCGCTCAGTGACGGCCGCGGTGGGGGGGGGAATGGTCATTCCCGTTTTGGAACGGGCAAGGCATATGGCAATGACCAACAAGATCCACAGCTTTACACAGTTTTAATACCATATTAATAATATCCATTAATATCCTACCTACACATGCATTTGTCAGATATCCTCAGGAATGCCAGAATGCTAGGAATCGAAACACGAAACGAAAAAGCACAACCGGGACCCGAACCTCTGATTCGTGTGTACTGTCTGAGATGGGCATGACCATGACCGTTCCCCCACCTGAACCATGTTGAGCTAACTTCGGTGGATGGTCTCAAACCGAACCGAACCGAACTGCCAAAATCGTTTGAATTGTTGCAAACAGGTACAACACAGGTCAGCTCTTTCACCTCCCAAAAACAACCTGCAAGAAGGTCTTTGGGGTGTTTCAGCCGCCACCTCCCAGCACACCGAAAAACCACGCTGAGAGCTCGCGGCTGATCGAGCGTTTGGTCGCCCGCGTGCTGCATCTTCTGCCGCGCCTACCGGGCGCGGTCGAACTCGGGTCGGCTGGACGTGCGCGCACCCCGGTCACCAGCGGGCAACGAGTTCGGGAACGGACCAATCACAAACCTCCGACTGAAGGAGAAACCAAATTGTGTGTGTGTGTTGTGTGTGGGCTGACTTCTGTCAATTCTCAAAAGAACAGACATTAGCGCGCGGATCTTAAAATGCTTGCTGATTCAAGCTCCATGAAAGCCCCTGAGCGGATCCTCGCCGTCGGTTTCTCTTGCAACATGTTTATACATCTCACAGCGCCCTACGCGTCGCGTCCATGCGGTGAAAACCCGCGTCTCGTGTCTTCAAGTCCGCTCGCTCGCCAGGCTGACCCCGCTCGCCTCCAACTCGAGCCTCAACACCTGGCGGCGCGGGGTGCGCCCGGCGGCGCGGGGAGGTGCGGCGGGGCAAACGCCAGGAGTGCGGCGGTCCTCAAAAGAGCAGTTTCATGGACGTAGGGACCAAAGGGTGGCTTCAGGAAAAAGCAGCGGAAAGTGACGTCGCTTCCCTGCTCATCAAATGGGTTTGGATGTGAGAAACATGTGTAGGCAGTAGATACAGTCAGTAGATACTAGTATGTTGCGGACGAAAGAAACAGAGAGTCCCTCACAGCCCCACCGGAACACTCGTCATCAAGCACCTGTTCAGGCTACACATGTTATGAAAACTCGTTTTGCCACGCCATGTCTAAATTTGTTTCTAGGTGCCGTCCATTCTGCACCTAGGGCGATCCTCTCCCTGACCTTTTAGATCATCAATGATGTGAGAACCGTGCATCCCCTTCCAACTCTTTGACACTTGATTGCCCGCTGCGTTATTGCAGCTCTATGACAATCTTGTGTCACTAAATTGAATGTCCTGCCCTGCCAGTGGCCAGTGTATCCAGTGTATCTGTTCATCTGCAATCTACTCACTGTTCTCACATGCCATCTCCACCATCCTTGCCCACCACCTTAAGCTCCGTTTACTGCGAACGAAGCATGCCCTGTGCAGGTCGATCCCCATGTCCTGCACTCCTCCCGCCTGGTCATGGTCCTCTCACTTCGGCCCCTTACCTTAACTATCCTTAACTATTGGCCTGCAAATTCTGCACTCAAGGAGGATCCAGGTCCCCTTCTTCCATCTTCTTCCAACCTTCCAGCCTCCATGTCTGGAAAAACACAGAGACACACACTCTTCCTCCGGCCCTTCTTGGTCCTTCCAACTCCACCACTGCCAAGCCTGCCGGACTCCTCCACTCCCCGAACATCACGCTTCCATCCAGCCTCCTGCTCCTTCCGGCGCTTCTCCAGCGCCTCCTGCAAGCCCAAGACCTCCTCCAGGTGCAGTGCTCGCAAGGACTCCAACTCCGCCTCCAGGGCCCGGATCCTGCCCGAGCGAAAGAAAGAAACGCATGGGTTGGATCCCCCCAAAAAGGGGATTTGGGTGGTGGGGTATAGTAGTTCTGGCGATCCATGGTATAGAAATCACTCCGATTTGATGCAACTGTTCATGTGAATGGTTGGTTTGGGAGGCGCCGTAGCTTGATATTTGGGATGTGGAAGTCCCCTGTACAGGGTTGCTATTCAGATCTACAGGCTCAGAGGCTCCATAGAATCCCGTGCGACCAAAAGCAACTCCACCAAGAAGGATCTACTGCAATCCTTTTGGCGATGGATTTTCAGAGTATCAGAATCAGACACCCTTGTGAAGCACAGTTACATGCTTCTTATCGCTCACAAAACCTATCCTATCAAAAAAAAAAAAATCAGGGAAAAGACCAAAAAAAACTGAAAAAAAGGAATATGCCACCATTTCTGCCAGAGCGATTGGTTGGAAATGAACTACTGCAAGCGCAAACACTGGTCACTTGGTACGATGGTGCGAAAGATGCACAAACACAAAAGAAAATAAGAGAAACTGATATCTGACAAACTCACCAAAATGGTTGCAATGTTAAGATATGTATCTGAGTGAGTCAGAAGAAAGCTCAGAAGAGTACGCATAAAACAAAGCGGATCACCCAGCAAAATTCCTCCCCCACATCGCCGGGGTCCCACCCCACGTGTTGCCCCCCTCTCCTCACCCCATCGGAGATGCCGTCCGGGACTTCCGCGAGCCGATGCCCACAGAGCCGACACCAGACGCTGTCGGGCGTCTGCAGCGCCAGGCAACTGGGACACCTGGGCAGCATTTGAGACGGCACAGGCCGGAAGAGGTCCAGCCTATCATCCCACCATCTCCCACCTGTGGCGGAAGCGGTCGCTGTGCCGCTTGCGGTGGCTGGAAGCGGTCGGCGTGCGCTGTGTGTGATGGAGTCACGTTTGGCCCACGGGACACACAGCCAGTGCGGCCCCGGGACACAGCGGCCCGACGTGCTGGTGACGCGCTGCCCTTTGCGATCTCTCCGAGACAAGTAGCTGTCACAAAGGAGAATGTAATCAAAGGAGATCACAAGTGGCTGTAATTAGAAATGATGATCACAATCAAGAATGTTATTACAGCAAGAGATGTCGCAGGGTCATTATCAATGTTCTTTCTTTTCCTACATTTCGATGTCCCAGATAAAATAGGACGCATGAAACTTGGCATTTCTGGCTTGGACTGGGACCCTGCACCTGCTCCAGAGCTGCTCCTCTGCTCAGCTTGAAGTTATGGAGTATCCTACCCAGTAGAACCCAGTTGACCCCTGTGTTGATGGGAAAAGGCCTGGGCCAGGTCCGCCTGCTTTGTTAGGTCCCTCCAGTTCCAGGGTACCTTTCATTCGCAAACCCCCGGCCCCCTTGCCCCCGCCTGCCAGCAGTTGCCCCCACGCTCAGCTTCCGCGCCGTCACCGGCAGAGGGCTCACGGCAGCGACGGCGCGCGTCGAGACGATGGGCTCGGCCTGGAAGGGGTCCTGGGAGCGGCGCTTTCGGAAGCCGCGAGGCGAGCGGTCTTCGCTTCGGTCTGAAGCAATGGACGGTGGTAGGTGGTGGGGGTGGGAAGACCCAGCAAAGACAGAATCCACCAGACCACCGGAGCGAAGGAATCGGAATGCGAAGGCAAGGATGGTGGTCCTTCTCTTGGTAATTTTGAAAAAATGTATGCCTGGCTCTTCGAAAGGATGTCCAGGCCAAATCTTGTGTAGCGCGAGGAAGTCCATCGCTGCACTGACCCCTCATAGTTCACTTTTCTCCGTACTGGCCGCAGTGTGCCATGAAACATGGCAGTGATCTTTGCCATGTTGGCATCACAGAATTATAGTATATATATATATATATACCTCCGTCACGACTCTTGGTTCATGTCCCAAAGTGATGGTTTCTTTGGGATTTGCACCCAGAGTTCTACAGATTCTTATGGACTTGGTCCAATTGATGAATCTTTGGTTTGGTCCCGCAACCCCAACGTCCCATCTTTTCAGGGTTCCGACAGGTTCAGGCTCTTCACCTCCGGAAAATACGCGGGTTCCCGCTGCCACCGCGCCGGCAGAAGAGGAGACGCCATGGCCGCAGGGCGGGACGAGAAGTGAAGGAAGAGAAACTGGGGGGCGTCTGCGCAGCTCTGCATTGCTTGACCGGAAGAACATGAACCCAATGCAACTCCGGAAAGGCGGTGTTTTTTTCCACATGCGATGCGATCCAGGCTGTGTTGATCCAAGGGTTCAGGACTCGAGCCATACATTCCAACTCATGTTCCAAGCAAAAACGACCCGACTTTTGAAGACTACTGATGCAAAGTGGACTGGAATGCGGAGAGCTCTGTTGGCCGGAATGGAGATCCTAAGTTTGCTACTACGGCCACATCCTCGGTCGTCCATACAGCCACGTGCGCTGAAACGCCACGCTCAGAGCCAGAGCCAGGCTTGGACGAGCGTAAAGCATCTGGTGGAGCGAGACAAAAGCTGACAAAAATCCATGAACTCAACTGCTGGGGAATAAGGCTTGAAAGCCTTCAAAAGTCCATGAACTGCTGTGCCTGATCCATGAACTGCGGCTACAGCCCGATTTTCGAAGGCTTCCGATGTTTCTTGGGATCCATGAAATTCCAGCATGGAATTCCATGAAAACCCGCCGTGTTGGTTTTGGGGAACGCGGAAATGCAGGAGCCCCAAACATGACATGAAAGAAACGACCTGGAGCCTGGAGTTTGTGCGCATGTGTAAGGGATCGGTGTGGGAGAGTCTGCTGCCGGAACGGACCCCAACGGCCCCCATCAACCTGAAGGGTTTGTTCCGCAGACCACGAGTCTTTGCGTCTTCCACCCCCGCAGCCGGGTCTCTAAGGCATATCAGACTATCTCTTCACGTTGCTCTTTTTCGCTCAGACTCTTCCTTGAAAAATAACAAAATAATCTTTGTAAATTTTACAATACTTATTGTTCCTATAGTTGATTGTTCTTATTGTAAAAATATGTAAAAAAATATATATAATACGTTTACATGTCAGTTCACAACCGTCTTCCTCGGTCTGCTTCTTCTCCTCCCCGTTTGCTCCTTCCCAGCGCCGGCAGAAGGAGGCTTCCCCGTTTTGTGATTTGGGTCCTTCGTGCCACTCACTCCCATCATCTCCCACATGTCACACTTGCGTTCTCACCGATCGCCCCCAACTGACCAGGTGTCCATTGGTTTCCTGACAAAAAAGGGCATCCTTGTCTCCCATCTCCGGTGTCATACACCCCGGGACAGGCCTGCGGTCGCCTCCTCCCGCGAGCCTTGGAGATGAGGTGAAGGGGTTCACCGGGGGAGCTCGGAGGCGAGTGGAGACTGGCAGAGGTTCACCAAGAACGCCCAGTCTCAGCCAATCACCTGAGTTCACCAACCAAAAAGGTAGAGATGCCTCTTCACAAGCGGAGAGCAAACATAATACATGAGTCCTGTAAGAGACGCAGGTTAAGATGGGCTGGAGACATGGATGGGAACATGTCAGACAAACAATCCCTGCACATGGAAATGTTCCATCACAGGAAAATCAACCACGGCTTTGGCGCCTACAATGAACCACTGGCGCCAGTGGCTCGAGTGCCAGCAGACGAAGGGAGCAAGACTCAAGACACCACGCATCTTCCCGACTCCAGAAACGATTCCATGCCATCACGAATGGTGTATTGGAAATCAACCAGCAACAGCACAAAAACACCGGGTCATTATCCAATTGCAATTGAGGTCCGACTGTACTCACCTGGCAGTGAATTATGAATGAGTTCTTCATAAAAGCAGACCAAGATGCTCTTGAACCTCGTCAATGAATGTTCGGCCACGTTAATTCTACTCCTGGACTCGCAAATCTTCTTATCCTACCACACACTTGCGTCAACAGGGGCTAGGATAGAAAGCTCGAACTGCCTATCACATGGAGATCGCAAGCGAGCTGGTAATGGTTGCTGGTCGTGGGACACACTCAGCATTGCTGACCGTGAATTCAGAAAACCATATACAACCATGCTCAAATGGTTGTTAAAGAACATCAACCCGTTTATTTATATATAATGGGACCGAGTCCTATACTGCTTTATTCCATCCTGCTGGGCCTCCCAGCTTGTAGGACGAGAAATCAACGGTGCCGTAGGTCGCACCCTGAACCGTCGCACCCGGGGCCGGTCGACTGGAGCCTGACGACCTGCTGATGAAAGAACTGATGCATGTCATGTGCCATGTCATGAAGCACACGTTGATGTTCCTTTGGGGCACCCGGTTTTTGGGGCTGAAAAAGAACACAACGCTTCCACCAGAGGCATGGCCTCGACCACTGCGGGATGGAAATTCCTGCGACAGTGAGGGAAGAAGGGCCATCCTGCCCGACCCGATGTACCACCTGCAACCTTTAGGTCCGCCACACACACCAACTCGCAAGTCGCTGTAATTGTCGGGCAGGCTCGCCTCACCCTCATCCGAAATCTTGGCAGCCTCCGTGTCCTTGGGCGCACTCCACCTCGCCAGAAGGCCACCGACCAAGGGTTGCAGAATGTCGATTGGAAGGTCTATTCCAATAAAAGCATGCGTGGCTCCGTTGCAAAATGTGGAATTTGTTGAGGAGACTCTGCATCAAGCATTCAGCAACAGCCAGCTCCTTGAAAAACTGCAGCTCTCAGGGGGGCTTGACTTTGTACGAGTACCCCTGCAGGCATTGCATAACCACTGATTAAACCGCCCAAATTGAAGGGACTCGAATCTGGTCTATGCGTCATGACGATTGTTCTCCTCAAAGAGGGCCCCTGCAAAGGGTTCCGGGAAATGCCAACCCCTGTCATGGGTCAATGGGGGATTGCACACGTAGGGGAAAACTGCAACTACCACCAATCTTCGAATCCACTCATTAGTTGCATCCCAGAAAGTGAAATAATTAAAACACCACCGCTCTGAGCCCCATGCTCCTCGGACACAGGGACTCGCACGAAGAACCTCGCAGAACCATGCAGGTGATGCGCTGCGCCATGCGCGAGGGATGCAGAGTGGACTGCAAGGATGTTGTACATTAGGGTTTCCGTTCACAAGCAGGGTAGCTAGATGCACTGTTGAAAATGACTATATACAAAAGTAGATTGGACCAAGTGGCCAAAAAAAAAAGAAAACACATCAGGTCCGCAGGGACCCTGTGACGCCGACGAAAGTGACTGTGCGACCTGAAGACCGACAGGGTTCTCCCGGTCTGGATGAACACCCGGTCATGCCGTGATCAGATCGACCTTCGAAGAGGAGGAATGGGAAATTGATACATCCCAGGGGGGGAATTCATCCCCCTTAAAATATCCTATAGTGAAGAATTGCCTTTCGCGGCAGGGGTGTGAATTGATGAATCATTTCATTGACTCAACATGCCTCAACCTTTGCTTCGCAAGACAAACTCAAGGTCTCCCCCTGAGGGCTGGAAATGACTCCCTCGCCGCCAAGCTTCCTCGGCTGCCAACCCAAAATTGGCTCCCCAACGCGCCATTGTTGTCGTAGACATTCACAAAGGGAACCTCAAGTGGAGACTGGCCAAGCAGGTTCCCTTAAAGGATGTGGGTCTGGGAGTGGACTTCTGTCTGTCCTCGCCTGGGAACCCTGACGAATCACTCCTCAGGAGCAAAAAGACCTCCCAAACCCATTGGGTCAGTCAACACATGATGCACGTGATACGTTGCAAGTTCAAGCTCTGTGTTACTCTGCGTCTTCTTTTTTGCAGGGGGTTCTTGGCACATCTCCCCAAGGCTGTTGCGGCTTGGAGCTAGATGCGGAAGTTGATCTAAACCACCTCACTCGCTCCCTAACATCCACCGAAAATAAGAAGGATTGACCCTCACCAATCCCGGCCTTCCCTGTTTCGGTCAGCTCTCCAAGTCCTGTCCACCGCCGCCCACCGACGGGCGGCCGACCGGCGAGCTTCCGCGGGGAGCCGGGCGGCGAGCGCGGCGACCGGTCGGTGCCCGGGCCTTGTCTTGCAGCCACTTCACCATGGGATTCTGCGATGGATCCTGCGGTGTTCCACGAGCGCAGGCGGGAGCCCGCAGCGGGAGAGCACGCGCTATGGGAGCTGTGGCTTCAGAATTCGGAGACCGCAAAGGCGCCCGATTGATTCTTGCACCGAGAGAGAGATTGAGTCTCCAGAGCCTCATCCTCATCGTCAGAAGTCAGGGTCTTGATGCCAGTGTAGACCTGGGTGAAATGATGAAGCGAGATACATGAGCTAAAAAAGGAAACTCTACACTTATCAAGTGAGAAATGCTTAGAGATACTACAGTAACAACAACAATAATGATATATATATATATATATGTTCGGTATATGTTTGCTCGATGTGGCTCGATCTGATCAGTCCTGGGTCGTGGGTCTCAAAACCAAGCAAACACATAACCACACTCTGTATGTCCAATTTCCAGTGGGTGTCTGATTCATTCTTTCTGCTTTTCCCACCCTGCTTTTCGCCGCACGTTCGGCACGTTCGGCACGTTCGGCCCTATAGTATCGGTCGAGACTGTCGGGGTATGTCTTCCAAGCTCCAAGCTGCTCGATCCTGACAACAAAGCTTCAACATCCATGTCAAACATGTGAGCTAGGGTCTCCCACCTTTACCTTGGTCGAAAATTCCTTGCACTGGATGGACCCTGGATGGATGTATGTTCAATGATATGTAATCTCCACTAAACCATCCATTTGGAGGCGTTGGTCGTAGCTCCAATAAAAGTTTACCTCAAACAGCTGGCGTCCGCCCATCCTCCACAAAAAGTTCGTGGGAGGAAAAATCGGTTGCACAACTGCACCGCCCTCTTCTCTTTGGGATAGATATTCATGTGTATATACATATACACCTAATATATGTGTATATGTGTTTTAATATATTGCTACCCAAGACTCACATCAATCGAAAAGAAGGTGCTCATCATTCAATCCCGGTCTCTCTAGGTGTCAGGCCAGGAAGGTTCCGAAGACGAAGTGCATAAAGAGCATGGCATGCATCATGTACCTCAAGGCACTTGAGAAGCACTGCCACTACAACCGTCTACTGCGCCATACTGCGCCTAGGCTGATGAGCCCCGCCATGTTTCGCTCAGGGCACCATGATGCTGCCGAGGTTGGTTCAAAGAAAAGTGCGTCTACACCCACAGCAAAGCAGGTGCCGCCTTCCGGCCAAACAAACTCCTCTGGTCTTTTCGGTGTTTGCGCAAATCCTACAAAGAGCGCTGTGGCCACCGGCCGGTCTCCTCCCGCCACCAGCAAAAAAACGACCGTTTTGGGGGTCGATCGATCGAAGACGAACGGTTGGGGGCTGCGTTTGAAGGGCCCCGTTCAGATACACCCATATTTCGTCTCATAGGTGCTCCAGGATCAGTTTTGGCGCTTTGGCCCACCTGAATCTGCTTTGCAAAAGAAAAGCTTGATCAGCTTATGGATGCTCCTCCGGTCTAGCTCCTCCCAGGTGCAAGACCCCACCATGGGCCCCCGTGCTCGCCCACGAAGATGAACAGTAGCCTGAAGATCACGGCACCGCAAATCCTCGGTGCCGGAGCAGGACTGGCAGGACTGGTCTTAGGGGCAGGACTTGTCGACGAACGTCTCAGTCGTCGAAAGTGAAACTCAGGGGGATGAGTTCATGACCCCTGCAGGCGCTCACAAAAGCAATCTCAAGAGTCTCTGTGTCTGTTCGCAAAAGAATCTTTCAAAAGTCCGGTTGTCAGGTTCCAAGGTCCAATTTCTCCTGACCCTTGTGTTTTCTTTCCAAAAACCTCTGGCTACCGCATCCCGCTGCGTTCATTGAGAGCTGTCATCCCCAAATCGCAACTTGCCGGAAATGTCTGGTTCTTTGGAGGCGAGTGGTCGGTTTCTGGAAGACATGAAACTCTCTAGTATACCCTGGGAGTTCAAAGACTATACAAAGATTGGTCTGACTATTTCTGACTGGGAGTTCAGGAAGGTCCTTGACTTCGGCCGGTCCAAATATAGTCTTTGGATGTCTGTGGACTTCTAAGGGTATATGATAGTATTTCAACATGGCGGTCCCAAACCGGGGAGGGCAAGGAAAAGAAAAACAAAAACACGTACACCAAACGCCCCGGGTCCGACTTCATCACCTGTCCCAACTCGTCTCGGACATCGATCTCGGTCGGGAGGCCCCAGGTAGAGGGGGCGATGCTTCAGGTGGTCTGGCGTGCCGTAGAGGTTGAAGATCAGATGGAAGACCTGAGAATTCATGGCCCCATGGCCATCTCTAGACCTGCTGGTATGAAGATCCCAGGTCTGCTGGTATGAACAAAGTCGTTTTGCTGTGATTTTATGAATCTGGAAGGTTCCGCGGCCAGCCTCACTGGGTTCGTCTCGACACCACATGCCACATGCCGGACGCGGAACGAGCTCGCCAACCTGTGGAGGTGCTCCGACCACCAGCTGATTCCAAGAAACCCACCAGAAGAAGCCCTGACCCTGCGTGACTCTGCGTTGGACTTGGGCGACAGGACGTTTTCACCACAGGACCCCCCCCCACCGTTTTGTGCGGCTGCGTGGGCCGAGACGTTGGGCGACTGGAGGGCCGAGACGTTGGGCCTTAATGGGATCGAGTCATGGGCCCTATGCGTCCTGGTCTTCGGGATGGATCAGGCGTTTTGGAGACTTCATCCCAGCTGGGCACCCGGCAAACAAGTTGTCAAAGGACAAGAGCCACTCGAGCATGTAACCACCTCAGATTGGAGCTGCCCCAAGGTCTGTCATCCATAGTCGCTGGAGACCTGGTAGAAGGGTGGCAAAGCCAAGGGGCATGTCAAACATGTCAGTCCATGACTTCAATGAAGCAAGGCTGGATGCGGATAGGCAGAGCTCCCCCCCCCCATCCGAAACGGGGCGCTCCCATGGCGGACCCGCGAGGCGAAACCCGCTTTGCACAACCTGGGAACCTCTTTGAACCACCAAGAACCACCTGGGAACCTCTTTGCACCAAACACCTGGGAACCTCTTCCATCCACCCACTCTTCCCCACCTCCGGCCCTGGGACCGGTCGGGTCCGACGAAACCGGCGCCGGGGTTCCGCGCTCATCCACATGAAGGCGCCGTTCCTTCCGTAGGTATACCACACCCAGCCTGTGCTGTGGGTCAATGGCACGCCCTGGTTACTGGTGTGTTTTTCCACCCAATCATGAACCGAATAGACATGAATAGACGACCAAGCACGGTCAACCTACCCTGGTTTGGGGGTGGTGCCAGCTCCGAAGGTCCACCTCCACGGACAGCAACGACGGGTGGGGACGGCAGCTGTTCATCGAATTCCCACCACTTCATGGCTGCAGCTGTCAACCCGGAGTGACCCAACAAGTGAGGTGTGTGAAGTTCATTCCAAACATGTCCAAACTATTCCAAACCCAAAAGCGCCTACCTGCTACCGTGTACAAGAGATCAGAGATGCTCACAAAGAGCAGGCACCCGTTCGGAAGTAAAGAATTCCACGTGTTGCATCCACTCTACGATCTTGGTGTGGAAGAGGGGCACACCTGGGTGACGATTCTTCCTCCAAACACACACACCCTGGACCCCCTGGTTTCATCCACCGGGAGCTGCGCATGGCCATCTGGCCTTTGCAGGGCCTCCCCCGGCCACCGAAAGACCCGACGAGCGCTTCTTCAGACCGGGGGTTGTTGGCCTTTAAACCCCACACCGCCCGGCCGGTGATCCAAAGCCGAAGTGATCCAACACCGCGCAGGCACCACAAAAGGCGAAGGCGGTGGAGATCCAGAAGAGGGTGTAGCGGAGGGCACCTGAGGCACTGAGTAAGGGGACAAACCACGGGGTGCAGTAAATGCGGGGCTTCTGCAGTGGGTCACATCAAAAAAGGCCCTGGTGCTTTGTGTAGATCCCCCCCTTCAGAAATGGTCAAAATGATTGCACCTGCTCGCCAAGTCGTTTCGGGATCGATTTCTTGCAGGTGTCTTGCAACTGTCAACCACCACATGTATCCATAGTTCCGTTGCACCGTCCTGTCATATTTCCGGAAAATGAATTTGTATATAATATATATGGCTGTGTATGTATATATATATATAGGTTGGAGGCCATCGCTATTAGGTTGGAGCCCATCGCTAGTGTATTATATATATATATACCCTAGCCTTCAAAGACCATTAAAAGAACGGTTGAGCTGGTGGTGTAGTGTAAAAATCCTTAGTAAAACCATGGTTCTTTGGTAAAGACCATTAAAACAATGGTTGTTTGAATCCTAGGGTATATGTATGTCTTCAAATGGAGGGACGAACTGTTCACCCGAGCTGTGGCCAAACCTCCCTGAAGATTGAACCGCGTCTGGTTGACCCCGTGAGTTCCACGAACTCGTGCACTCGGTCGACCCGTACGTGACACGCAGAACCTGCAGGGAGACCTGGCGTCAAGGTACTAAGAACCCCCTGCGTAGATCCCTGGAGATTTTAGCAAAAAGCTCTCACAAGTTCTCCATCTGCACCAACATGCAGCCGGGGTAAGCAAATATCATAGGAAGCAATGGCAAGTGAGGGTCGGGGTTCCTTTTGAGCTGTCCACCGCCTGTTATGGCCGGTAAAAGCTAAACAAGCAAAAAATAAATATAAAATCAAAAACACACATCAGGTGGGAAACATCGTTCTTTTCGTCGTCTCTTGGTCACGTGCAGCCACACCCTCCGTTGATCCAAGTGGCGGCCAATGGTCAACTCCTCAGCGTTCTTGTTCAAGAAGAAGTTGTCGAACATCTGGGCGGAGCGCCGCGCCCCGCGCGGTTGGGGCCATAGATGGTCGTAAATATCTCGATCATAGAGTCAACGGCTCTTCAGCGTGGTTTTCCCTGTTTTCCCCATGTCTTCCAGATGACTTTTCCACAAAGGTAAAGGAACCCACCAAAACACCGGCCGATCGTCCGATCGTGTTTGTTACAGACCGTGCTCGCCGCGCTCGCCGTGCACCGAGCAGCAATGAGGGCGAGGAAGACCGCGCCGAAGGTGGCCCAACTACTCAGCTCCTCGTGGGGGACGGTGTTGGCGGAGAGGCCCCGGAGCGGACTGGGACCGCAGAGCGCGGACTTCCAGCGACTTCCAGAATGACTGGTCTCGGAAATTGACGAAAATGTCATGCTCTCATCTTTCCTTGAAGTCTTTTTGATCTACTCGGGCATTCTGTGCTTCAAGCGCTGCCTGCTAACATTGGAAATTTAAAGTACAGGACATCATAGCATTTACCACCACACGTATCAGGTCCTCAGTCGCTTCTAAGATCATCACCCAAGCCCAACTTGCTTCATCAACTCTGGTGCCTAGTTTGCTGAGTTGCCTAGATTGGATGTGTTGCATGAGGTTTGCTGGGGAGGACTATTCAGCCAGTCATTGGGTTCAAAAGAAGCCCACCCATTGACATTGGAAGGGTTTCTTTCGGCCTTACAATGCCTGTGGTGTAGGGGGCGAAGCAGTGCACAGTTGACTCAAGTCAAGCAAGCATTCCTTCTGTGGGGGGCAAGCCCTCCTCCCGAAGGCTCAAAGCCCGCGAAAGCATGATCGCCACGAACAGCATGATCGCCCATGTTCGTGTGTTTCGAGGTGCCATAGGGCAACATTTTGCCGTTCTTCTTTTTACTGTCGATGAGACCAAACATGCCAATGCTTCGCTCGGAAACAAGGGAGTGTAGCTCAAACCCGGAAGATATGGGATTGTAGCTCAAATAATTAGGAAGACCTCCCAGGCGTTAGCTCCGGAAAATTGACCAGTCTACCCGTTGGGCCAGGCGGCCAGGGGGACTCGCTATTGAAATACACACCCATATGAGGCCCATAGGGAACCTCAAACAGACCACGGCCACCACGACGACCCGCCTCGACTTCGAAGAGTTTCACTTGCCGATCACGGTCCAAGGCATATCTCCACAGGTCCTGGGGAAGGGACCGCAGCGCTGGCAGCGCTGCGACAGTTCTTCGGGAGGTGGCCGTGAGACAGTTGGGGTGGGAGGATAGAGTGGATGAGTGGGGAGGGAAGAGTTGTGACATGTTGTGACCAACCCTACCAATGTTTTTCATGGTCCTGTATCTTCATTCATTCATCTTTGGGGAGGATATTTGGGGCAACTCTTTCCGAACACGCGAGGTCCCGCCGCACTTCTTTCAACGAAGAACCCCGGCCGGTGCGGCATTTCGGTCCGCCTTGTTGGCCACAGACAGCAAGGATTCAGGAAGCATGGTGGCCTGGAAACCATCGCCACCGGGCAAGAAACTCCCAGGGTGGGATGATTCTTCGATGGAAAACCCCATGGTCCGAGGATATCCAAGGGCTCAAAGTCCATACCAAAAGCCCTCTGAGAGGCCATGGTGTCGCTGCTGTTCAGCGCTCCACCACGTTCCAACTGCATGAAGAGACAAACCACCGGCACACAACTTCGGTCCCGCCTTCCGAAGGATTGCGGAGAAGCCGAAACTTCAGTAGACGGAAAAAGACGGGGAGTGGAACGTGTCCTTTAGGCTGCCCTCTTGAGCCCGCCCCTGCGCGGAAAAAAACCTCCGAACGTGCGACACACCACCGGCGGATGCACCAATTTGCCGGCTCCGATGGCAGGTTGGCCAAGGTCTCACCACCTTCGAATGGTCCGGCATCACGGGAGTGTTCGGGGTTTTCACTTGCCAAGTTCGCAGCGTACCCAAATCTCACTCCCTCCAGTCGCTGCAACCAACACATCCGGCAACTCTACGGAAGCGCTGTGTTTGCAACACCAAATGAAACTTGTTAGCAGGTGATCAAGAATAATATGTAGCCAGCCTCCCCCGCGAAAACCAAACATGAACAGATTTGCAGGAGAATGGTGCAGTGTGCTTCCTGCGGGGGTGGTTGGGGAAGTCACTTCTTTGGCCTCCATCTGCGCAATGTCTTTTCCATCTCTTCATTCCACACACTGTGACATTCCGGCTGCCTTTTGCAGCCACAGTGCCGGCGCCCTGTGCTGTTCAAACACGCCGTGACAGTACGCAGCTCTTCCGCGAGTGAATGAGACTCTGCGCAGCTTTTCCGCGCAGATCACCCACAGCTGCCCTAAAGTACGCTGGCTCAGGGGCTCATCGTCCGCTGAGGAAGACTAAAAACCTGGCCGTGGATGAAAATCATAGAAATGGAAGGCACATGTTAGCACGATATATATATATACATACAGATGCGTACTCACAAAACGGAAATACCTCTGAGCCAATAAAGAAACACTAATGTATCTGAACATACATACATTACATTGCATTGCATTGCATTACATTACATTACATTACATTACATTACATACATATATATATATATATACACTGTGTATATATATATACATATATATGTATATAACACCTTCAACTTGACACATTGGTTGACAAGGCAAGGAACAACCAACTCCAGACCAATCTTCACGGTGTTTGAACTTCTCACTTCTCTTGAACTCCAGATCTTCTCTGGAGGTTCAATTTGCGAGGCCCACGCTTCAGTAGCGGTAAAAATCGAGAATGGAAACCTGCTCACGAACAAGATCAACGCCCTCTGCCCTATGCCTCTGCACACCTGTTTGTTCCACCAGCACTGCAATCACCATGCTTGGAAGTGAGGGTTTGCATGTTCACCTAAAGGTGAACTGGTCCGTACATGGCCTCTTTCGCACTTGAGACCACAATGGCCAGCCAGCATTCACCATCGCACAACTAAACCATCAAAAGCATGAGTCTATTCCATGTTCCATCTGCTTCTATGAAGCGTGCTCATAAAGGTATGTGTGCACAATAACAATAACAAATTACTAGCGATGTATAATGATACATGACAATAATATAACAATAATAGATTATGTGATTCATTGTCATAACTATCTTATAGTATCTAATCTTACAATATATATATATATATATCAACTCATTACAACGAAAGAACAGCTCTCGAGGTCTTCAAAGTCTCGACTTCTTCGTTCCTGGTCCTAAGAGGTCAAACCAGACTGGTGAACTGTCCCACCTCACCAACCTGAGGTTCGACCGGTTCACAGCGAGCTGTACCGGGGAGTCCTGTTTGTTCACGTGTTTTGGGAGCCCCCGGTGCAAGCTGCAATCTGTGCATGATGGAGCGAACGATTTCCGGTGCACGTTTCGGAGGCATGACAGAGAGTGGCACAACATCGTCAGATTAACAGCATGATGATCGGCTGCTCCTCATGATAATCCGCTTCGAACTTTTTTATCCAGGGTGGTTTGAAAAAGGGATATATGGTTAGTAACGATGGTCAATCAACCATTCCTGACACGTCCTAAGAACCATCCCAACCGGCAGGAGCTCGTAGACTTCTTCTGCGCAGCATTTTGCATCGTACCTTCTACTGCACCTCCACCACCATCGACCAGTCCACATCCAATCACTAGATCAACGAGTTGAGGTCGGATGAGGATCTCAAATTCATGTGAGTGAAGCCCGCACCGTCCCATCAAGACCAGATGTTCACACCACGTGACCACCCCTGGCCATGTTCTCCCCTGGCCGTTCATGTCCCATGAATCTCTCCAGTTGCGACATGAATCTCTTGGGCAACAAATGATGTCTCCTCATGTTTTCAGGGGAGAGGCTTCCCTGCTTGATGCTTGAACCTTCGGCGGCCCGTTCCTCGTTCCTCCTTCCATCTTTCACCGCCAGAACCCTCGCGTTCGGCACGCCACGCGGCGGAACCGGCACCACGCGTGGAAGCCGGGCCTGAGGAACGCTGTAAAGTCCAGTGCGCCTGGTAAACCATCCTGCGCACCGAACGGGATGGCGAAAACACCAGCAGCAGGAGGGCGGTGTTTGTTTGGATGGCGAAGGCAGCACACTCCCTGGAGGCTGAGCCAGCGCTCTCATCGCGCGGCCCGAGCTCCGCTGGCCCAGCTTCCGACGCTGGAGCCGTTTCCAGATTCACGGGTCACATCGGGTCCGGGTTTTGGGGTAGCAAACTGTCACGAGAGTCTGGACTACTAGTAGTGGATCCCCAGCCCCAAAAGACTAGGATACAAACTGACCAGGTCGGACAGGACCATGGCAATTGCAGGAGAATGTAATGAATTAGAGTTCCCCCCTGGGTCAAACCGGAGAGAGACCACATTGAAATACCTGAAGCAAAAAAGATATTAGTGAGGGAAAGCCTCTGTCTTCCCATTCGCCTTCTGGGGGGAAGAAAGCATAATATGTATGGTCAGACAAAAGACTATTAAAGGTATATACACCCTATGACCCTATTCTGAACTCGTCAGACTGTTGGACTGTTCTCAACATGGTTGCTTTCTGGGAAGGCGTTTCCGAAGGCTGCAACACCCGAGGGCTTGGGCGCAGAGGAAAAAATGCCCCACCCCCTCGCGGAGACGCATGCTGTCTGCATCTTGGGTCCGCGAAACATGGAAAAATGCCACTGACATCATCGGGTCGCCTTGACAGTTTCTTTGTATTTCTTAGAGCTGGGGTTTTGTCAATGTCCCAAAGCTTTGCCAGACGCACCAACCTAAAGAACCTGCGCGCGCGTGCCAAACAACAACTGTCCCGATACATTGACTGATTCGTAGGTTTGCCGCACAAATCAGGCTCAAATAAAGAAAACTAAGCTACCCTCTGGGGTGAAAAACCATCTTTGCAAGGAACTGTTGATGAATTCCTGCGTTGAGAGGCCTACCATGGCATATTGCAGGACATCCATTAAATAGTGTGCACCAAAGAAACAAGTCTACACGCAACCTGCCCAGAAGTCATTCTGCAATAGTTATCAAGATTTGCTTTCGCATGCGCTTTTAGATTTGCTGTCAGATTGCTTTCAAGGAACGAGGCATTTCTTTGTGGAACAGAGTTGGAGAGGCCTCTGACATCATTGAGCCTCATCACAGGTGAAGCCTCAGTCATCCAAGGCGCGGAGCATGAGGCTTCATCCGGTGGCTTCTCCAGCCACATCAAGGTAGTGTCAGCGAAAGGTCGTACAACATTGCAGGTGCCTTCCTCTATGATTTGTCCAACTTGGAGTCGAGTCAAGGAGGCAACCAACCCTCCGCTTTCGGCATTTGATCATGGCCTTTTCAAGGCGCATTCGGTGAGCCAAGGGGGTGGGAGGCAGGATGCAACGAAAGAAGTGGCGAAAATCGCCGCTCTCAAGCCGTTGGGTCAGCTGCGGGGGGAGCCGCTTCGACTCTTAGGCGCCGAATTTCGGTAGCAAATCGAAGCCTCCGCTTCGTGAAGACAGCCGCACCACAGCAGCCTTTTCAGCAAGCGCGCGTAGCCATCGCATTGGATGCAAAGACAAATGGCGGAAGGGATCCCTTGAAAGGTAGCGAAAGCGGCGTCCACAAGCAATCAAACAAGGTTCAGGAAGCAAAGGAAACAAACAATCACACGCCCCTAAGCTTTTGGACCTAGCTTAGCTGCCTTTCGCTTCTTGGCAGAAACAAACAGGGGATCGTAGACCAGGATCCAATGTCCCTGAACCAAAGCTTGATGCAAGGAGCTCTGACATTGATGCTTTGTTAAAGCATCCGCCAGTTGAGCGTCAGAATTCACCCAACGAGTCTCCGTGTGACCTCTGTCCAAGCGTTCCATCACCGACAAAAGCTCCAAAGCACTGTACTTCTCGGAAAGTCCTAAACCGCTTGTGTTCACCAAACCCTTCTGAACCGAGTCATAGAGGGACTTGGCATCGGTAACAAGAATCCCAGGAACACGAACCAACACATCTTCAGGAGATCGAGGATCGAGGTCATGACCGAGCATTTCGCCCCACTGGAGTCTGGTGAACATAAGTTCCTCTTCAGCCTCCGAAAAGGCTTGCACCTCTGCCGCTAGGCTGGATCTTGCGATCCTTTTGAGTTTGAAGGTTTTCCAACCTACAAAGTTCACGCGTGCTTTCTTTCCTTCTCGAAGGTCTTTGGTAGTGGCACCAACAACGTAACCACCAGTACTACCCATGTCAACCCTGTTGGCTAAAGCAGCGTCACTCCAAGCAACAAATTCAACCTCGTCAGGGGAACACTCCAACACTTGGGTTTTGGGAGAAAGCATGCGATCATTGTAAATCTCTCTCACCAATTTGCTCGCTTCAGCCAATGTTTGGCCATCAGCTTTGGTGATCCTGCTCTGCAACTGACTCAACTTGGCCCCGTGCTGGGGTCCAGACTGGACCACACGCCACTGTGCCGCGCCCAAAACGGCTCGAAGTTGCTCAACTTCT